CAACGACACGATTTCAGTCGGTTACAAACACAAAGAAAATATTATTCAAAACTAAAGTACGTAGGCCCATGTATTTCTAATTGTGTATGTGTAGTATGACTTTCCATTTAATTTACTTTATGTAGATTATTCATTATATAAAAGCACTGCTTGTTTTGTATCAACTGAAAAATAAAAAACTGTTAAATTTATTAAATAATTTTAGACTATTTCAATTTCTAAAGATGCAAGGACACAGGCTTACAACGTGTCGAGAATTTCTCAACCTCTATCCACAGATTACTTCGACCTAAAATAATTATTTACCTGAAGCTAATTCATTTTTAATGTTAATAAAAGATCGTAATTAGAATCGTATCGAAAGCTTTCCGCAAGCTTCAAAGTGCTTCACTCTCTATCAATGGTTGTATAACTGCGGGCATGCGCACTACGCGGCGGATGTGCCGCGCGACGAGCCGGTTATCAATGGAACCACCGCCATCTTGTTGACGTCATAGAGAAGCGGAAACTGATGTTTGTTTTCATTTTAGACAATTTATATGACACCGGTAGTGCGCTGTTATTCCTATAAAAGTTTAATTGTTAATGATAACTGTAACATTTTCAATTTATTAAACAGGTACATTGATGAATAAAAGAAAATAAGGAAATACGTATTGGTTTTTTATGTAAGTTTTCTTATGAAAAATACGTTCTGATTGTTTTTGCAACTGTTGTTATTCTATACTTACATATTTTAAGAAGTAAACCGTGGGATACTTTTTACGTTATTTCTTTATGTTTTTGTATGGCTAACCTCGTTTCATAACAAAGGGGCTCTGCCAGTAAAAACAAGAAAGTCCCTTTGTGACGAAAAGTTTCAGACCTTTATTTATTCTTGTTATAAGCTTAGTATGGACCTTTTTGGCTCTGTGTGTCGAGAACAAAGACTAAAGTTAATGTGTATTTTGTAGTGTTATTGGTAGTATAACCGGTTGAACGGCTGCTGGATCAAACCTCTTTTAGGAACTTGTAATGTTAAATGGTAAGAGAAATATTCATTTACTTTATTAGTTGAGACCGCGTGTGTTTTTAATTCTATGCAATAAGAGGTAAACCTATCAAAATACAATAGACACAATTCTAGCCTCTGTGGTTCTAGACTGAGAGGAAAAATTGACTACACAGTTAGCGCTATGGCTGGGCCGTAGCTGCCGTGCAACGTGTAGAGGGTACGATTCCCGCACGGATCAACTCTTTGTGTCCACAAATTATTGTTTCGAGTCTGGGTGTCACGTTTGTAAACGCACCCACGACATTCTTATGTTTCCCCCCTTAAAATACTAGGATAATCAAGAGATAATCCTCTCATCAAAACTCATCGAATGACGGCTCCCGCCCGGGTAAGGCGGGAGGGAGAGTCAGACTCTTGCTGACTAAAAACCACCCCGTTCCTTCTCCTGCACGTCGAGCTGGAGCCCCGGTAACCCGTTAGGTTCTCCGCGACATAATCCTAGTATGGGTCAACGTTTAAAACAACAAAAAAAAAACCTACAAATCCCGAGACTCTCTATATAACTCCGAGACTTTCGATCCTCGACAATTGCAGTAGCAACCACTTATCCAACGAGGCAGTTAGTCAACGTCAATCACCACCAGAAATACGGACCAAACAATAATACATTGCCATATGACAGTTGCCAGAACACACCATTCGTAACCTAACAAAAATATTACAGGAAATATTATTTCATATTAACATAATCAGTTCTACCTAGTTCTTTTTGGTCCACGCACAGCATAATTGAATTAATCCCACAGACAAAGCAAAGAGCTTCACTAATGTAATTAGAGCGCATTTTAGTGAACTTCCTCAACTACTGGGAGCAAATAATAAACTGTAATTTGATTACTACATAGCGGGTTACGGTTGTAATTAAAAAATATTTTTACTTTAGTACGTACGTAATTTAATATTTTACACAAACTATTTGAAATTTCTTTCAGTGGTTTTAGTTTCGCCTGAGACCCATGTCAAGTATTTTTTCATTTGTAATTTCTCAATAACAAACTAAATGCTGTTATTTTAAGAATGAGCAATTTTTTAAACTTCGTCTCTATGTGGGTACATCTACGTATTAGAAATAACAATTTTTTAAGTGTGGAAAATCATCCTTCTCCCGCCTTAGGTAAGGCTTTTGGAGACTAAAAACCACCCCGTTCCTACTCCTGCTCTTGGAGACGGAGCGCCGGCAACCCGTTAAGTCCTCCGCGGCTCCAAATCGGCATCGCAAAGTCATCAGACCACCACATATGGGGCCCTTTTTTTAAGGGGGGAAAATCATCGAACGACTGCTCCCGCCTGGGTGAGGCGGGAGGGAGTGTCAGACTCTTACTACTGACTAAAAACCACCCCGTTCCTTCTCCTGCACGTCGAGCCGGAGTCCCGGTTACCCATTAGACTGGCTCTTTGAGGAGCGCGGAACGCGACGCACCATATCCTTGGGTCTGGTTCTGATCGGGCGGTGAACTGCCCTTGTTCGCCGTCCGCATGCCCCGCTTGCGGTGGCCGGATCGTAGAAAGAACGTTACGTTACGGAACTCTAAAAATATTTTTAATGAAAAAGTAATAAAAATAGAGGACATGCTACTACAGATAAAAAACCAGGTGCATAAATCAAATGAACATTAATAAAGTTACTTTCTACCACATCACCTTCGACATTTAACTAAATAACTTGCATTATTCCACCAGGATGAAAGCATGCAAGCACACAGCTACCGTTAATTGCCCATACTCTAATTAAAACCTTTTACTCGATTCACAGCTTGGCCTTCATTTGGTGAAGCAAATAACACTTCAGCTACTCAGTGCCACGTGTAACGAGCACTTGTAGAATTTTATGGGTATCGGTAAGAGGTACTTAGGGGCGATTGAAGATCTCTACAGGTCTCTGAGTGGTATTTGCGTTTGACTTAACTCTTTGACGCCTTTTGTCTCACTAAGGGCTAGTTTCCCCCTATAATTTTAATAACTGTATCATTAATACCTTCTTTAGCCATAATCAAAAAAGTCCCTATAGCTACAAATATTCCTAATCACTACATAGGCACATAGTCTAAAACAAAGTAGCTATCCGCCGTCTGTACAGATAGACAGCGGATGGACAGCCCTATGTATGCTTAAATCTTTAAAACTACGCAACGGATAGAGTGATTCTTAAGGAAGGTATATATGTATAATACATGCATATTGCAACCGTGCGAAGCCGGGGCGGGTCGCTAGTCTGAAAATAAAGTATGAAACTTTATGTTCCATAATTTTATCTCATAGACAACTTTTTTTTATAGGGACAAGCCCGCCACAACCTCCCAAAACCGCTGCAACTCCTGTAAGCCAGGATCTACAGTAGATACAACCATGAAAACACCGGAACATTGAAGTCCGGCGCGTCCCAGGGACATGAGTAACTGTCTTGGTTCCCGCAACGAAGTGAATCAGAAGATATTATAAGAGGAGAAGAAGAAAAAACTGTAGTTTCCACTTCCCTCGGTGAATTACTGCAGGAGACAGAATGAATTAAGCCTAAAGGCACAAAGAAGAGAGACTGTACAACTGGGTGAAGCCCAGTCGCCAAGCACCACGGAAATTTGACTAAAAAACTAACTCATAGACAACTTAATTATTTGAAACCTGTTCAGTTGGCGCATCGTGAGTTTGACTCCCACACAGAATATCTCTTTATGTGACCGATAAATAAACGCTCCCAGGACATAGGAAAGAAGAGGACAGACTCCTATATAACCACAATTTGAAACAGACAGAAAATCAATATTTTATGCACTTCTCTACAATGTGAAGTTTGTATAAAGTGTACAATGAAAACCATGTCCTACCTCAAGCTGCATTTAATGTAAGTAGGTATGGAAACTATACTTACATTGACGTCACTACCTCTTAAGCCGAGTGGTTGCAAGCATGTCTGCCGAATAAGAGGTTTCATGTCTGATTCGTAGCTTCAAAATTCGTGATAATTTCACAGTTTATCGTTAAATCTACGTAGGTCAAACCTAACTGTAGTTATAGTTATACCTAGTACGTGATGGGTTTAATTACTTTTTTCTTTAAATACCTAGTGAGTAGGTAGGTACAGTCATGATTGAGTAGGTACCTAATCATATTATTTATATTTTTTTTATTGCATAAGCCGGTAAACGAGCAAACGGATCACCTGATGGTAAGCAATCGGCATCGACATCTGGAACACCAGAGGCGTTACAAGTGCGTTACCGGCTTTTTGGGGATTAGGAGTTTGAGGATATTGTTACAAATGTATTACAAATAAATAATTATTTATTTATTTATTTAACACTTTATGTACAAATGTATACAATGGCGGACTTAATGCCGAATGGCATTCTCTACCAGCCAACCATAATATTCATAATATTCTGAATATTCTGCTGTTTCCAGCGTACAAATATTAAAAATTTAGCAATTAAGTTCCTTCCTTCCAACAATTGATACGAATTAAATAAATAAAATAGCATAGAAAACGAATTAGAACACCCAAGCTAACCCTAACGTTTAAAATTAATATAATAATACGAATATTGTGTTTTCAATTCACGTAATTAAGTCACACACCGCATCATTTGCGAATTTTCTAAAATCAAAATACCAATATAATTACTTCTTTTTCATTTAACGTAGAATTGTGTACGATAAAAAGAGACAACAGGATTGATGGTATTTCGTTTCAAAGCTTTTATTTACCACCCCTATTCAAGGGTCGACAATCCCTTTCCGCGCTTGCGTGAATCAATAATATACCCCATATTAGGGTACTATTTGTAAATGTCAAATGGTGTTTGAATTTATTCGTTCAGCATACATTGACGCCTTTATATCATGAATATAGACGACTATGTTCGTTGAACCAGCAATGGAACGGTGCTGAGCGAAAAAGTTTTTATTATTTGTTGGTTTGTAAATGTCATGGTAGAGTTTCGCGCCTGCGCTCTGCATCCGATGGACCAAATTTTAGCAAGTGTAATCGGAGAACGGTGTAAAGTGCATCTGTTTTGTGTGAAATATCTATAAATAATATTAAAAAGTGAGTTTGTATTGTATTGTTGTGATTTGTGTATGATATAGATCAAGTTTCGTTTATATTCAAAGGAATTTGATTGAGTTTTTCATGTCCTTATTGTGTGTGCGAAATAATCACTTATTGAGCTTGGTTTTAGTGCTGTTTGTGTAAATGCTAGGTTTATATCTAATTCATGGTGGTAAAAGGATACCTATAACGAAAAATCTTATAATTGTTATTCTTGAAATATTTATTATAGAAATATTTGAGATTTTTATGAACGAAAATATTTACTAAAACATGTTTGCCAGTAATTTATATCCTTACTAATATTATAAATCTGAAAGTGAGTTTGTTTGTTTGTTTGTTTGTTCCACCTTCACGCCGTAACTACTAAACCGATTGCTTTGAAATTTTGCAGACGTAAAGTTAGAAGTCCAGATTAAATAATAGGGTACTTTTTATCCCGGAAAAATGTGATATTCCCGAGGGAAAACAAAAATATTAGTATAGATGGCGCTGTGTGTATTCCTGTAGATGGCGCTTTGTGCCATCTAAAACAATTCAAGTTTCAACGAATTACCTACTAAATGGAAATTTCACGCTTTAATCTATAGCGCTTATTTGGTGTTAATCTACACTTATTCAGTGCGTTTTTCGACTCATTTATTTGCTATTTTTTATGTAAAAATACTTAAAAAACACAACGTGGTAACGTTGTGTAGTAGTTACGCTACTTGGCGATAGATGCGCTGAGTGTTTATAAAACGGGGTAGCGTTGTGCTTTTAAAGTACTTTTATCGCTTTTAAATTTTGGTTTCTACCATTTTACATTGAATTGTGTATTTTATAGATTTTAGGTTGTTAAAGGTACATGAAATTGGTGTCTATGTAGTAGTTACGCTATTTTTTAAGTAATTTTCGCTTTTAAATTTTGGTTCTAACCATTTTACATTAAATTGCGTATTTTATAGATTTTAAGTTGTTAAAGGTACACAAAATTGGTGACTATGTAGTAGTTACGCTACTTGGCGATAGATGGCGCTGAGAGTTTATTATTATATATTCAACGGGGGGGGTAACGTTGTTTTTTAAGTATTTTTATCGGTTTTAAATTTTGATTCCTACCATTTTACATTGAATTGGGTATTTTATAGATTTTAGGTTGTTAAAGGTACACGAAATTGGTGTCTATGTGGTAGTTACGCTACTTGGCGATAGATGGCGCTGAGTGTTTATAAAACGGAATAGCGTTGTGTTTTTTAAGTATTCTTCGCTTTTAAATTTTGGTTCCAACCATTTTACATTAAGTTGCGTATTTTATAGATTTTAGATTGTTAAAGGTACACGAAACCATAGTGGCAACAATACTCAACAATTAGCAAATGTATTGTACGCTGTTGTTTCAACGCTCGATAGATGGCGTTAGGATCGAGTTAGATGGCGCTATGGTTTCGTTACCGGCGAAAGTATAGGTTCCGAGCTTCCGTATCAATTATATTTTAGGGTACGCATCTAGCGCTTAATTGATTATTTTTTTGATTAGTCAAGTGTTATTTTTTCTAGGTAGATATTTAAGTACTATAGTGATTTTTTTCGTCGTTCTAAGACGCTGTGTTCATTGTTTACGTTGATTGATATAGATTATAGTAGCTATATTAGTTAGGTTAGATTAGTGAAGTGGTTTATTTCTAAGTAGATGTCTAAAGCAGTTAGGTTTTCGATAATAAAACGTATAATATAGTTTACCACTCAGTTTTGGTTTTTAGCATTGCAAATATAACCCTTATAGGAAATAGAAGTCTTTTAAATTAAAATGGGAGGAGGTATTTGTGGTAATGCGAAAATAACTTCTTCTGTTCTTCCACGCGGCTGAATCGATTTTGGTATAAAGGTAGTTTGAGTCCTGGAAAAGCAAGGCTTTACCGCGGCAGAACTTCTCATTCCCACGGAAAAATCTAAAACGCGCGTTATAACCGAATTCCACGCAAGCGAACAGCTGTTTGTTTGTTTGCCTGTCTTAAACGGCAAAACGGAGGTACTTAACGTGATTTTTCAACTGAAGGTAGTTGAAGGGATGGGTAGTCACATAGGCTACGTTTTATCTTTTTGTGACGCGAGCGAAGCCGCGGGTAAAAGCTAGTATAAAATAAAATGCATATACGCAGTCCTCAAAAAACTGATTTTGGTAATGTTTATGTAATTTCGGACTGTACCTAATAATGTAAGATCCTGAATTAATTAAAAATATCCAAATAGTTAGGAAAAATACGTAAAAATAAACAATAAAAGTTTCTAACCATGCCTAAACACTCTATCTGTCACACTAAATATTATTGACTATGGACCCGCCCCGGCTTCGCACGGGTGCAATATGCATGTATTATATACATATAAACCTTTCTTAAGAATCACTCTATCTATTAAAAAAAACGGATCAAAATCCGTTGCGTAGTTTTAAAGATTTAAGCATACATAGGGACAGACAGACGGCGGATAGCTACTTTGTTTTATACTATGTAGTGATGATAAACCAGTCAAATAAAAAAATATATTACATACACCACTTATTAGTAAGTCTTTGATGAGTTGATAAAAGTAATGAGTTGATGAAAATGATCCCAATGTAAGACAGGTGTGATGATATGTGCTTATGTTTTTTTTTTAAACGTTGTCCCACTCTAGGATTTCCTCCTATGTCGTGGGATCGTTCACATACACATGACGCTCAGACCCAAAACAATAATTTGTGCATCATACAGAGTTGCTCCGTGCGGGAATCGAACCGGCTACACGTTGCGTGGCAGCCTCACCAACCGTGCAGTTATTATTTGTACCTATTTACTTGTCTAACTACACAGGTAAATTTACACTGCTTTCCTACGAGTGTATGCCGAAACTACAGCGCCACCTAGTGCGATTCTTACATGCATTAGCTTACAAATGATACGAGCATGTTAGCTACCTACGTATAATTTCATACCCATTCACTGTATTAAATTAAAAACAAATTTTCTAAGAATAAACATATCCTGGTAGATCGATAATGGACTTGGATCATATTACCACCGTCATATTTATAAAGATTTATTCTTTTACAGAATGTCCTGTGGGGCGGAATGTCTGTCCCTCGGTCCCCCACCGGACTCCATCCTGCACATGCCACCGCCGCCACTGCCCGCCTTCCTGGCCAGTGCTGCCAACCTCACACCACCATGCAGGGCCTCCAAGTGCCCCCCTCACAGGAACAACGAGGAGAACTCCTTGTTCCCTGGAGTGGAGTACCATGAGCTACCCAGACATGGTGAGATACGTATGTTGTTTTCTTTTAACTATGTTAATGGACCGTTTTGTTTTTGTTTAACCCTTTCCATTAAATATCTAATTTCTAATCTCCACCCTCTCAATAAGCTAGGCTAGGCAGCAGCTGCAGCATATTTTAATCAGAAAGCTCAAGTTATTTGTATTTAACCACTACCAACTACATCAATACAGTAAAAGAACCACATTCTGGTGGTCCAATAAGATCCAGATGAATGCAGTTTGGAGCAGCATCATTTTAACAACCTGGTAATTCTTCCAGAGCCTGCAACTAACGACGACACCTGGTTCCTCGTGCTGATCACCTGCTGCATCGCTGTACTGTGCATAGCTGCACTACTAGCGTTGTTCCTGCTCAAATGCAGAGAGTAAGTGTCGTACAGATCGTTTTGACATCATTTTCCGTCATGTTACTCCAAAATTTTAAAGACCTTATGAATTTTTTCTCATTGTTCTTTTTATTTTGCTTACAGTTGGAAAAAATCTCATGGGTTTTTTCTCGACAGGGCACGAGGAGGATGCAAGAGCGGTACTGGTAAGGCATCAGGCTCCAACGCATTATACGGAGGAGCAGCCATTGACTCGCGCGTCCTATGGGCAGCGCTGACACCGCGAGGCACGCGACACTTCGTCGCCGACACCTACCCTCACGACGAGACCGAGGACCATCACTACGAGTGTGTAGAGCCCCCGCTATACAAACTCGGCCCACCAGAAGACCTCGCCATTCCACGACATTTCAACGTAGAATATGAAGACCCTGCTCCACTAATTGAGAGCTACAGTGATAGAACTGAAGAATACTTCCGGAATGGCATGGATACCCTTCGCCGTGGCAACCGGCCTCTCGTCTCCTCGCCAACAAGGATCGAACGACCCAACCTGCCTCCTCTCAACCTGCAACCACGCACCCTGCGGAGGGCCCCTCACTCCCGCCGAGTGAGTGATGCGAATAATCCGGAGAAATCGGCCATCTGAACCGAGAGTGGCGCGGTCTTTTCCGTCGCCGATACTACCGATATCGATTACGATTGGCAGTCGATCGAGAACTCGAATGTTGATCGTCTCGTTTGAGGACCACTCTTTGCTGACACATTATGTTCAAGTGTTTGGCACCTGGACTGAAGTTTTAAAATTTGCTCTGGACTTTTTACTTAGAACGCTTATCCGCATAACAAGCTGATAGTAAGAACGACATAGTAAGAAATAGATTACTTAATGGTAACTGCTTGTACTTCTTTCAACAATATTGTATTAAGCGTAAAAGAAAATAGTAGAAGCACTCGCAGTAAACAGCTTTGCAGTAGATAGCAAATGCTTTGTGTGTCTAGCAATTCAAAATTGATTGAAAGAAGTACAAATACAAAAATAATGTAAGTAGTAGGTAGGTCTAAAGGTTTTAGAACCAAGCTTACGAAGTGCATCAGTGTCCATAATTTTAATAGAGTCAGTGTGTGCTAACGTAATTGTAACTCGGTAGTAACTAGCTCACTTTGTGTAAATAACATAGTTTTATAAAAAAACTTATTTAATTTTATTCTACGTGCTATTGTATATGCTATGAAGCTAGTCTATTAATATACGGTCACAATTTCTAGTCATTTTAACACATTGTGACACTTGTACTGTATGTCTGTAATCGATAAAACTATAATGTCTGTTAGAATATTTTATTTCATTGATATTAATTTTATCACGAATTTTTGTACTTGTCAATAAAATATTATTATTTCTAGAGCCTTTTACTTCATTACTTTATCAGGAATACGGGACTTTTTGAAAAATTAAAAATCCTTCTTTGGTTATTCTGCCTCGTTGACATAATGATGGCTAGTGCGATAGATATGAATTGCGAGGATTCAATAATACTTTAAATTCATTTAAAAGAAACCGTGGCGCTATCAAAAAAATACTATTTAAAGAACTCTTTTTCTTATTGAATGGCAATTTCCGAACGTAATCAAATTTTGACATTGACATTGTGATGACATTTACAATTTGACGTTGACAAGTGACGCTCATCGCGTGAATTGGCGTGTGTTGTTTACTGGTGTAGATTTTTTCAAAATATGACAAGAATATAATTTTTCCTAACAAATTGTTGTGACTATTATTTAGTATTAACATTATTGTAAGAGATAGAGTCTAAAAAACATCCAAAATGTCGGAGGAAGTGATAAAACACTCTGTACACACATTGGTGTTCAGATCATTGAAACGATCCCATGATATGTTTTTATCTAACCAAGGATTGTTACCGCCAATTGATGATAAAGCGTAAGTACAAAGTTAGGATCACAACCTTTAATATTTTTTTCAATTCATGTTTTTAGTGACCAGAAACAGTAGCTAACAAACCATCATAATCTTTGTTGATTTTAGTCCGATTGTTTGGTTATGTTCTTATAAATCCATGTCATTATGTTATAGCAATACGCAAGTTAAATTAGAAGCATAGTTAAGTGGTCTAAAATACGTGTAAAGTGCATTTAAGTATGTTAGAAAACTCATTTCCTTGCAAAATCTGTAATTGGCTTTGATTTCATTCTGTACTATTTAACTAGTATGTATATCTGTTGGTTTGGCTAAATGTTTCTTATAAATAATTTTTACAGGGAGAAAGTACTAAAAGGAGTGAAAGCTCGTGACAGTTATGGTCAGGTGATGGACACAGTGCAGATTGCTCAGGCAGTCAAACAGCAAGACATTACACGGATGCAGACCGATATCACTAGTGATAATGGTAAGTTCTGTGTAGTTTTGGTTGATGTTAAGAAGAATTCTATTTTTCATAATAATAAATAGTTGACCAGATTTGAGAAGTACAGTACCATTTCCAAATGTAACATGTAAAAGGATAGGTTGTGCTTTGAAAAGAAAACTGAACTATGATATTCCTATACTAACAAAACTTAGTAGAAATCTGTAACATTTGAATTGTCAAATGCCATAATTAGTGTTTAATACACTAATCCAACTTATTTCATTACGAGGATGGGATCCAATAGGAATTACTCAGCTCAATATGAATGTAATTACTTTACAACAGTTGTTTTAGCTTTAGTCTATTTACTAATGGTACGCACTACTGAAAATACACAAATCGCGTACCACTGGCGAGATAGTGGTTAAACATCAGCCCGTCAAATACAAAAAATATCTGAATTAATGCCTTAGTATTGTATTTGTATCATAGCTATGTGTAACATGTACTAAATACTAATAATAATAATAATAAGTTATAATAATTATAATAATAATTCAAGTTGTTTGCTCCAAACAAGAAACAACTGATGGAACTACTGAATATAACTGAAAAATTTAGTAGTTCCATCAGAATGGAGTTTGGAGTAGACAAGTGTGCGGTCATGCATGTAAAGCGAGGAGGGATTGTGGAATCTGAGGGACTAGAACTCTCAGATTTCACAAAACTGAGATCACTCTCCGCAAACGATACATACAACTACCTGGGTATGTCAGAAGGATTAGGCATTAATGGACCGGACATGAAGCAATCGCTACAGGAGCGCTTCTTTGGCCGCCTGAATAAGGTACTAAAAAGTTCCTTATCAGGCGGAAACAAGGTGCGAGCCTTTAACGGTTGGGTCATGCCAGTCCTAATGTATTCTTTTGGTATACTCAAGTGGACACAGACTGAACTTGACACCTGGATAGACGAGTCCGGACCCTGCTGACTGCAAATCGCATGCATCACCCTCGTTCGTCGGTCATGAGGTTGTACATCCCGCGGAAGTGTGGTGGTCGAGGCTTATTAAATGCTAAGACCCTTCACAACCGTGAGGTGTGCAACCTCAGGGAATATTTCCTGAAAGTCAACGAGGGTATGCATCGAGAAGTAGCAGCGGTGGACAATGGATTCACTCCGCTATCCTTGGCAAAAGAGAACTGGCGCAAACCTGTGGTACTGAGCGTCAATGATCGCAAGGAGGTATGGCATAGCAAGGAGCTCCACGGACGCTTCTTCCGGGCCCTTCATGGGCCCAGTGTAGATTTTCTAGCGTCCGTATCTTGGCTACGATTCAGTAATCTCTTTGGAGAAACTGAAGGATTTGTCTGTGCAATTATGGACGAAGTTATCCTTACGAATAACTACCGGAAATATATAATTAAGGATGGGACGGTTGACATATGTCGGGCATGTCATAGTCCTGGTGAATCCATTAGACATATTATTTCTGGTTGTGGTCGTTTGGCTAACAGTGAATATTTGCATAGGCATAATCAAGTAGCCAAGATTATCCATCAGCAACTTGCTTTGCACTATCGACTTGTTGAGTCTGAGGTACCGTACTACAAGTATGTGCCCGACCCAGTTCTGGAAAATGACCATATCACGTTGTACTGGGACCGGTCTATCATCACTGACAGGACTATTATAGCGAACAAACCTGATATAGTGGTGATAGACCGACAAGTGCGCCGCACGATGATAATCGATATCACTATTCCTCATGATGAGAACCTCGTGAAAGCTGAAAAAGATAAACAAATCAAATATCTTGATTTGGCTCACGAGGTTGTCGACATGTGGAATGTAGATTCGGCTATCATTGTGCCGATAGTCGTGTCGGCCAATGGGTTAATCCCTAATAGCCTCGACAACCACCTTAGGAGGCTAGCGTTAGGCAGTTGGGTCAAGGGCCTGATACAGAAGGCAGTTCTCCTTGAAACGGCACGTATCGTGAGGAGGTTTCTGTCTCTGGAGCCCTAACCACCGGTAGCTTGGACCATGCTCCCGCTACTGGTCGGGTCCTATTTTTTATATTTTTAAATATTATTTTTATGTTTTTGTAAGTAGTATTTAAAAATGTATTTTATAGAGAATTTAAAATAAATATATGGAAATAATAATAATATGCTTTATTGTACACCACACAATCACATTATAGGATAAATATTAACAAAAATAGTGTACAATGGGCGGTCTTATCGCACAAGGCGATTTCTTACAGACAACCTTTGGATGGAGCAGTAATAGGAGTCTGATATGGGTCGTCAAGTGTACAATAATTAATAACTTTATAAAGTACTATACACATAATACAAAAATACAACTACAACTCAAAAAAAATAAATAAAATAAATAAAAATAAAATAATACCTAACTTACTAACAAATAAATATAATTATTATCTTCCTAACACGCAAGGTCTTGCTAAGGACATCGAGGATGACACACTGTCACTGCATGGTATACATGTATTTATTTTAATAGCATGCTAACTTCTATGTGTATTATTTGAACCATTAGTCAGTGATCTTTTTTTAATTTTGCTTTTTTTGTTACACTTGTTTCGTTATGAAAATTGTTAATTTTATTTTGTCTGAAAGGGCTGTTATGTATTGAGAGGCAACAATTTTTATTGCATAAACATAACATCACGCCTTTTCTCCCAGAAGGGGTAGGCAAAGGTGCACATTATACCGCTGTACAATGTAACACCCACTTTTCTCTGTTTATGTTATAAGTCCCATGTAATAGGGGGTGAGCTTATTGCCATATACTGGGCACAATTCCAGACTCCGTGCTACTACTGAGAATTTTTAAAAAACCCAATAATTCTTTGCCCGACCTGGGAATCGAACCCGAGACCCGTTGCCCGGCAGTCGCACTTACGACTAGTCGGCCAATGAGGCAGTCAAGTTTTTATTGCAATTATTCTTTTATTATTAGTGATGCTTGCACTGTAAAGTTATCAACACAAAATATATATATTTACTTTTTCTTTCGTAATAGTGGCAGTAGATAACGTCGTCTGACAAAATATCCTTCTGTAACACCATACATGATTTATCTCTAGGAGAATTAGCAGAAACGGCAGCACTTGGATCAGAAGCAGCCCTCGTACCCTTTACTGGTCCAACACCTACGGCAGCCGCACCATCAGGAGCTCTGGCAGTGCCACGGAAACCTCCAGCAATGCCCAAACCCAAGTGGCATGCACCTTGGAAGTTGTTCCGTGTTATATCTGGACATTTGGGCTGGGTGCGGTGTGTAGCTGTTGAACCTGGCAATGAGTGGTTCGCCACAGGTAAGGGACTTTATTGATGAACTAGCTGTTGCCCGCGACTTCGTCCGCGTAGATTAATGACTTCTGACAGAATTAACCAGAATCAATTCAGTGCCCAAGTAAGATTTACCTATTTTGAAATGATTTATCGTAGTTTCAATAAATAAATAATCCCGCAGTGATCTTACCAGTACAGTGCCCGATCACGTAAGGTTTGAGTAATAAAAACTATTCTATCGACTATTGTTGTACCGAATCTCTCTAGAATAAGTTCAGTGGTTAAGAGTTAGAGAGTCCTGGGGCATTGACGCATAGTTCCCGTTCTCGTGAGACATCTGTGAAAAAACTATCATACGTTACCCAGGTCCTAAATCATTGTTTTACCGAATGTAATTCAAAAAGATTCAATGATTCTAAATTCAACGGCTAAGAAGATTTATACAAACTCTCATTCCCTATTTTATCCCCTTAGGGGTGGAATTTATCAAAATCCTTTCTAAAGAGCTACCTATGTCATAGTAACTTTATGCATGCAAAGTCTCAGCCCGATCAATTTAAAACTGGCAAAGTATCATACAAACTTTCACCCCCTATTTTACCCACTTTGGGGTGAGAATGTTCAAAAACCTTTCTAAAGGGACGTTTACGTCATAATATCCATCTGCACGCCGAATTTCAACCCGATCGGTGTAAAACTGACAAAGCTTCAAACAAACGTTCATCCCCTATTTTACCCCCTTAGGGGTGGAAATTATCAAAATCCTTTCTTAGCGGATGCCTATGTGATAACATCTATCTGCATGTCAAATTTCAATCCGATCGATTTAAAACTGACAAAGTCTCATACAAATTTTCATCCCCTATTTTACCCACTTGGGGGTGGAAATTATCAAAATCCTTTCACAGCGGATGCTTACGTCATAACATCTATCTGCATGCCAAATTTCAACCTGATCGGTTTAAAACTGACAAAGGCTCATATAAACTTTCATCCCCTATTTTACCCACTTGGGGGTGGAAATTATCAAAATCCTTTCACAGCGGATGCCTACGTCATAACATCTATCTGCATGCCAAATTTCAACCCGATCGATTTAAAACTGACAATGTCTCATACAAACTTTCATCCCCTATTTTACCCACTTGGGGGTGGAAATTATCAAAATCCTTTCACCGGATGCTACGTCATAACATCTATCTGCATGCCAAATTTCAACCCGATCGGTTTAAAACTGACAAGTCTCATACAAACTTTCATCCCCTATTTTACCCCCTTGGGGGTGGAAATTATCAAAATCCTTTCAAGCGGATGCTTACGTCATAACATCTATCTGCATGCCAAATTTCAACCCGATCGGTTTAAAACTGACAAAGTTCATACAAACTTTCATCCCCTTTTTACCCCCATTGGGGGTGGAAATTATCAAAATCCTTTCACACGGATGCTTACGTCATAACATCTATCTGCATGCCAAATTCAACCCGATCGGTTTAAAACTGACAAAGTTCATACAAACTTTCATCCCCTTTTTACCCCCTTGGGGGTGGAAATTATCAAAATCCTTACACAGCGGATGCTTACGTCATAACATCTATCTGCATGCCAAATTTCAACCCGATCAGTTAAAAACTGACAAAGTTTCATACAAACTTTCATCCCCATTTTTACCCCCTTGGGGGTGGAAATTATCAAAATCCTTTCTTAGCGGATGCCTACGTCATAACATCTATCTGTATGCCAAATTTTAGCCCAATCTGTCCAGCGGTTTGGGCTGTGCGTTGATAGATCACTATGTCAGTCAGTCAGTCAGTCAATCACCTTTGAATTTTATATATATAGATATTAATTATCCATTTCCATCCACTGCTCGACATAAGACTGCTCCTATTTTTTTTATGGCATAAGCCGGTAAACGCTCATACGGATCACCTGATGGTAAGCAATCGGCGTCGCCCATGGACACCTGGAACACCAGCGGCGTTACAAGTACGTTACCGGCCTTCTGGGGTTTAGGAATTTGGGGATCGTTGGGATTCAGGAATTGGAGAGATTGGGGAAGGGGAGGGTAATTGGGCCTCCGGTAACCTCACTCACACGACGAAACACAACGCAAGCGTTGCTTCACGTCGGATTTCTGTGAGACCGTGGTATCACTTCGGTCAAGCCGGCCCATTCGTGCCAAAGCATGGCTCTCCAACACTTGAACACACTTTCCTATGTTTAAGTATGCAAAATAACGACAAATATATTTCATGATATGAGGTCCCACTTTCAAGTCAAAATACTGTTTCTATTTCTTGCTCTATTGATATTGATGATTTGATCCATAACTAAGGGCCGATTTTTCAACCATCAGATAAAATTGAGTATGGAAGAATTATTGTCATATATTCAGTTATTCCTCAGTTAAAATTTATCTGGGGTTGGAAAAATAGAGAGGTTATTAAAAATAGAGAATAGAGAGATAACCTTAGACATTATACTCGAATGCTGATTTGTCTTCCTTATACAGGTGCTGCGGACAGAGTGATAAAGATCTGGGACTTGGCGAGTGGCAAGCTGAAGGTATCGCTCACTGGACACGTCAGCACCGTCCGAGGTTTGTTCACCAACTGATAAATATTTAAGTTAACTTCATTAAAATGTTTAACATGACGATAAAAATTAAATATGAAATTATCCTTCTTGGATAAAAACAATGATTTGTTGTGCGTGTTTTCTGATTTATTTTTAAATTATGTTAGTGACTACAATACGTGTACAGATTGAATTGTATTTTTTGTTTCTTTATAGGCTTAGAAGTATCATCAAGACACCCATACTTGTTCAGTTGTGGTGAAGACAGGCAAGTCAAATGTTGGGATTTGGAATATAATAAGGTAAGATTTTCATGATTACGTATACTTGCTATTGTTATTTTGAAAGGCAAAATATTGTGCTAAGATTAATAGGGCTTATTTTTATCTATTTATAAAATAAAGGCTAGATCGGATCAAATCGGGCCTGAGGGATCGAAAGGCTCGATCGAAATATTTATACTTAGATAGTTACCTAATATTATTTAATTCTTTATAACTCTATAATTTATAATGTAATAACGAACTCAAATAAAGCTTTGTGTGGTCGCGCTTATCTCCTGAACTACATGTTCGAATGGAATTACCTTTTTTGTTAACTACTACAGACTACTGACAGTATTCTGCGCTACATCGCAGAGAGAAGAACCCTCTGTGGTTTGAAACTAGTAGAGCTTTTCTCAGTGTATTCACGCGAGTAACCCGCGATTTTAGTTAACTTTGCATGTCTTACGATAGTTAGTATAAAAATATACTTTTTTGTGTTGGATAGTTTTTTTTATCGAGGAAGGCTATAATATAAAACATCACGCTACGATCTATAGGAGCGAAGTAGAGCTGAAGACACTGCGCGGGACTAGCTAGTCCTTTATTCCTATATACTATATTTAAATTGAACAAAAAAAATATAATTCCAATTACACTCTAATCATTTTCATTTTTATTTCCCAGGTCATACGTCACTACCACGGCCACTTGTCGGCAGTGTACACGATATCCCTGCACCCCACCATCGACGTGCTGGTGACGGCCGGCCGCGACGCCACCGCGCGCGTCTGGGACATGCGCACCAAGGCCAACGTACACACGCTCACCGGACACACCGACACCATCGCCTCACTCGCCTGCCAGGCCGCTGAACCACAGGTACGTTATTTTTATGGCATAAGCCGGTATACGAGCAGACCGATCACCTGATGGTAAGCAATCGGCGTCGCCCATGAACACCTGGAACACAAGAGGCGTTACAAGCGCGTTATCGGCCGTTTGAGGATTAGGAGTTTGAGGATCGTTGGGAATTCAGGAAATAGGGAGATTGGGGAAGGGGAGGGTAATTGGGCCTTTGGTAACGTCACGCACACGACGAAAAACAACGCAAGCGTTGCTTCACGTCGGTTTTCTGTGAGGCCGTGGTATCACTCCGGTCGAGCCGGCCCATTCGTGCTGAAGCATGACTCTCCCACACTTAAAAAATAGTTAGATAGATACGGATTCGTGGTTTTGTTTGTTAGTTTTAAGGTACCTGGCTGGACTAGGTTTGAAGTATTTGGTTCGTTATTGGTAGTGTATGGTTTCAAGCCTAAAAAGTAAAAGGTCAAAATAAAAGTTTGGTCCGTTTTATGAAGAGAAAAATAATTACAAGTAAAGAAGAAATTTTTCTCTATTGGTATCTTTACTAAAAACCAAATAAACAGCTTTAATAAAAGACTGACAGACATAAATGTTATTATTTTCACTATATAATTTTCAAGTGTGTTTGTTTTTGGTCTAATTGCAATACATAAATTAATTTTTACTGCCTCGGTGGCCGAGTGGTCGCAAGTGCGACTGCCGGGCAGGGGGTCTCGGGTTCGATTCCCGGGTCGGGCAAAGTAAAAGTGGGTTTAAAAAGAAATTCAGTAGTAGCACGGAGCCTGGAATTGTGCTCGGTATATGGCAATAGGCTCACCCCCTATTACATGGGACTCATAACATAAATAGTGAAAAGTGGGTGTTAGTTCGTACAGTGGCATAATGTGCACCTCTGCCTACCCCTTCGGGGATAAAAGGCGTGATGTTATGTTAAATTAATTTTTACTTCGATTCACATTGTCAATCGAAAAACATCTCTAAACTACGTCTTATTTTCAGATCATAACCGGCTCCCATGACTCAACAATTCGTCTCTGGGACTTAGCAGCTGGGAAATCGATGTGCACACTAACAAACCACAAGAAATCAGTTCGTTCCATCGTCGTACACCCAACACTATACACCTTCGCATCTGCTTCGCCGGACAACATCAAACAATGGAAGTGTCCGGAAGGAAAGTTCATTCAGAACTTGTCTGGCCATAATGCTATCGTGAACTGTATGGCTGTCAACCCTGAAGGTGTTTTAGTCAGTGGTGGAGATAACGGTACAATGTACTTCTGGGATTGGAGGACCGGGTATAATTTCCAGAGGTTGCAGGTGAGATAAATTCGTATAATATTATTTATCTTGTACTAGCTACTTCCGCGCAGTTTCACACGCTCTGCTCAGCTCCTATTGGTCGTAGCGTGATGTTTTATAGCCTATTGCCATCTTCGATAAATGCGCTATCCAACACAAAAAGAATTTTTCAAATCAGATTTTTAGTTACGAGATTAGCGTGTTCAAACAAACAAAAAAAAACTATTCCGCTTTATATAATAGTATAGGATATAGGATTCCCACGTTCCTTGCAGTTTCATGGGTATAGTGTTAGATACAATCCCAAACACATTGATATCACCGAGAACTTATCAAATTGCCAAAAATGTAAATATTCAATTAGATATTACATATTTGCCCAACCTTGGAACACCTTATGTTTGAAATTTCTAGTTTTTTTTTTAATTCTTGAGTGTAATTTTTAAGGGTTGGTACCACAACGATACATAACACCAAAAAACACCATTAAAATATTCTATTAAACCCCCAGGCGGCCGTCCAACCAGGCTCAATGGACTCTGAGGCCGGTATCTTCGCGATGACATTCGACAACTCGGGCTCCCGTCTCATCACGACGGAGGCTGACAAGACAATCAAGATATACCGTGAAGACGACACGGCGTCCGAGGAGACGCATCCCATCAACTGGAGACCAGAGATCTTGAAGAGAAGGAAGTTCTAGATAGGTTTTATAGTGATAGTAATTAATAAATGCGATTTTTTGACAAACCTTGGTTTTATTGTTTTGTTGCGCTGTTCGCATTGCCTCGCCTGCATTTTCTATAGGTAGATAGGTAGATAATTTTCAACAATAAAAAGTACAGAGGACAGCATATTAACCTACACCTTTCTGTCCTCGGCTGGGCAACCGGCTGCCGTACAACGTGTCGCGGGTCCGATTCCCGCATGGAACAACACTGTGTGATCCACAAATTGTTGTCTCGGGTCTGGATTTCATTGTGTATGTGAACTTGTACGTTTGTATACGCACCCACGCGGAGGAGAAAATCCTAATGTGGGGCGACGACTAAAATAAAAAAAACTTCATTATTACATTATCCCACAATTCGCACTACCTACTTACGAAAATAGTAAATTCACTTAACTGCGAGGTATGCGCCCAGTTAGATGATGTTTATATGCTGATGGAGTGTGTTAAATTTAAGGTGGCGAGGGACTGCATTGCTTCAGTTGCATAACATAACATAACATCACGCCTTTTAACCCCGAAGGGGTAGGCAGAGGTGCACATTATGCCATTGTACAATGTAACATCCACTTTTCACCATTTATGTTTTTTATAATTTATTTTATATATACTTAATTTATAATTATATATGAATTGTGCCCGGTATATGGCAAAAGGCTCACCCCCTACTACACGGGACTCATAACATAGTGCTTCAGTTACAACATTTTAAATACAATAATTATGATTTGGGATCCTTTTCTAGTATTTTGTCAGGCAGCACGATCTATTGTAACGATGTTACAACAGTTTTGACCCGCTGGTATTTGACATTTTTAATTATTTTTAGGTAACTTATTTGTTTTACATAGATAAGTTTGGGATACTATTGGGCTGACGTAGTCTAATGGTTAAAAGTCCCTTAAATAAAATAGACTAAAAAACTTTTTATGGAATAGGAGGCAAACGAGCAGACGTATTACCTGATGGTAAGCCATCAACGCCGCCCATGGACACCCACAACACCAGAGGAGTCACAGATGCGTTGCCAGCCTTTTAAAAAGGAGTACGCTCTTTTCTTGAAGGTTTGAAGGTCGTATCGGTTCGGAAATACCGCCGACGACAAATCATTCCACAATATTGCTGTGCGAGGCAAGAACCTACGTGAGAACCGCACAGTTGTGGCCTGCCAACCATCTATATGGTGGGGATGTATATGCTGTTGTGAGGGTCGATTGCGAAAAGATGCGGCAGGCATCAGGTCAAACAATTCCTCAGAGTACTCCCCGTGGTATAAGCAATAGAAAATGCACAATGAAGCTACATCTCTACGCATTGCCAAAGTGTCCAGCTGGTGATTAATATTTATAAAGTCGAAAACCCAATTGAAAAGTATGGGAGATTCGTGTAAGTTGACATGTTGGTCATTGTACTTAATATATACTAAAAGGTTTCAAAAGAAAATAATAAAACAAATAATATTTATTGTTATATTTATTTGTTAAAAAAATATGATACAACATAATTAAATTGAGTGTTACAACCTAAAATGTTACAAAGCAGATATGTATTTTTATGTATGCATCGCCACATGATTGCGTATTACTAAACCAAGTCTCATTCTCAATGGAATGTCTACAAAAACTGAACTCTAGACATCAAAAAATAACTAATATTCTTAGAACTTTACTATACTTTTACTAGAAACAATTTCTAAGAATCGTAGTTATTATTATATTACTGATAACATTATTATTAGAGAAATTCATTCAAAAGCATTCAAAAAGATTTAAAACAAACGAGGCACTCTCATGAGATCGCTATTTATAAAAGTTTTAGTCAAACTTTATGGCTATACGATCTAAACATGAAAAAATAGTCACAATATAGATGGAGTCAGGAGTGTCTCTAGCGCGTGTTGGCCCGGGTACAATAACGTGGCACCTTTTGTATCTTATAACAAACTAGCTTTTACCCGCGGCTTCGCTCGCGTCACAAAAGTATAAAGAGTAGCCTATGTGACACATACCAATACACACAACGCCATCTATATCTACCAATAATTTCGTTTTCCCTCGAGAATATCGAATTTTTCCGGGATAAAATGTACCCTATTATTTAATCCAGAATTCTAAATTTACGTCTGCAAAAATTCAAAGCAATAGATTTAGTAGTTACGGCGTGAAAGCGGAACAAACAAACTCAGTTTCCGATTTATAGTATGAGTAAGGATACAAGAAACGCATTGATTTTATTGCGCTTTCGATTTATAAAGGCTATATTTCACCGGGACACCGTGAAGGCGTCACCAGTCGCCAGTCAATGTATAAGCTGGTTGCGCAACCAAGCGGACACCAGCAGCTGTAGCCAAATGCCATTTACCGCTTGTCTACATGTAGAATAAAAAACTAAAATTATATGGAATTGACGTAAATTTTGACACTTATCAGTGTCATAGCATATACAGAGATATATATAGAGACATATACAGAGAGAGTAGAAAACTAAATGTATGGAGATGACACTGACAAGTGTAAAAATTTACGTCAATTTCATATAATTTGGTTTTCTATTCTACATGTAGACAAGCGCTAAAGTGGCGTTTGGCTAAAGGCTCAGGTGAGTAACTCTCTATAGAGCTATACATTTAGTTGGTCGCGAGGAATGGCTGCACCGCAATGGTGTTCCGGTGAATTATAGCCGTAAGTGGTCGATCAATTGATATTGGATAGGGCATAGTACATATATACCTCGCAATCTCTGTATTAGAGCCTAGTTAAGACCTCCTAGACCAGGAAAAGCCATAAAGTTTGTCTATAACTGCCTACACTTTAAATGCATATACTTTTTTTATCATCGTCATAATCTTTACTTATTCCATTTTTTTTTCAATTAACTTCAAAATACAAAAGATTCTCTCACACGAAACAAATATACAATAGATAAGTAGTAAATAAAGCATAATTATAATATTAATTATTAGATTTTATAAATCATAATTTTAAAGCTTGTGTAGCCCGCCAGCAAGCTTAGTAGTGCTCATACAAAAATAGCTGAGATGTCATACAATATTATTTTTGTTATATTTATAGTAAGTAATATTTTTAATCTATGTAAGATGTAACAGAATAAACGTTTAAAGAATGAAACTGAAGAATATTTATTTTTGAAATTTTGAAAATTCAATGGACATATCTGGCTTAGTTTAAGTCAGACTTGCGTATGAAGGATTCCTTTTTTTTTCTTTCTTTCTTCTTTGGCAACCGAGTCTCCAATACGATGTTGTCGACTATACTGTCAGTGTCGGGTGGTGACGGCAGATTAATGAGCCGTCGAAGTTAACTTTGCGGTAGTTTTTAGTAGTTAGTAGAGAAAAAACGTAGGCGAAGGATTCCTTATCATTTAGCCATAAAAACGACCAAAGTCAAATTGGTACACGAGATACAATCTCCTGACACACTAAAGTATTTAGGGGTCTTAGTAAAATCGTCCCGCTTTGTTTACAGAAGTTACAGATCCCTAAAAGGAGACTTCTTTCCTACAAAATGACTTTTTAGTCCCGTATATTAATTTGAAATGTTTATTTACTTGGTTCTAAAACAAATTTTACCTGATTCTTCGTTTATTCTCTTACACCTTATAATTGTGCCAGTCTTTTAGCTGTTACACAAACTACAATATTGTATGTATCCTTATGATTGCGGTTTGCATTGTGTATCTGATCATATTTCATCATCTAGATCAAACTCCTCCTCCGGGAAGTCACCCACGGTCACATAGACCGGTTTCACAAAGCCGCCGTACTTTGGGGGGCATGTGAAGTAACGCTTGCCGTTTACTCTGTGGAAAAAAATACCAAATTTAAAAATGTATTACAAACTAAGGGAAGTAACTCGAGTCGATTTTCAACTTTATTGCCTTACAATAAAGTAAAATATCGATTAAAGTTATTTGAATTTGGCATAACTTCATGTGCTGGTGTTTGTACTGTCTGTCAGTATGTAGATTCAGGGTTTGTTAAAAAAATGTAAGAACTAAACAAGCCAAATAGGATTCTCAAGTATTAGCAATATCCACAGATGGGGCCCAACAGGGCCGAAGCCGATTCGGAGTCGCGGAGAACCTAACGGGTAACCAGGGCTCCGGCTCGACGTGCAGGAGAAGGAACGGGGTGGTTTTCAGTCAGTAAGAGTTTGAACCTCCCTCCCGCCTCACTCAGGCGGGAGCAGTCATTCGATGACTTTCCCCCCTTAAAAAGTATTAGCAATATTCAGATTACGTCCTTTTTTATTTAAAGCTTGTGTTGAATCGACTTCTGAAGAATTAACGACTATTGTACTTTATCATGAAGTATATTTTTAGTTTTATTAGTACTTACGATCCATCATTCTTGCCACGAGGTTCATCGTACTGCACTCCGATCCATAGACCTTTAGCCCCCTCTAAGGGACCGTTGTACCTGACGGTGGCGCGACGCACCGGTTGCTGAGGCACGCGGACTTCACAGCGAGCTCCTACTAATACTGCTTCTGCTATCCTGTGTTCAAAGAGTACGGTTTCATGAAAGTTGTTTTAACATAGCCTATGGTATGGATGTATACCATGGCTGAAACAACCTTTTTACGTAACTGCCGTATTAGGTAGGATTAAATTAGTCATCAGTATTTGGTAGATGACTAATTGTTATTTTAATGACCGTCTAGTAGATTATTAAACATAACATAACATCACGCCTTTTATCCTCGAAGGGGTAGGCAGGGGTACACATTATACCACTGTACAATGTAACACCCACTTTTCACTATTTATGTTATGAGTGCCATGTAATAGGGGGTGAGCCTATTGCCATATACCGGGCACAGTTCCAGACTCCGTGCTGCCGACTACTGAGAATTTTTTAAAACCCAGTAGTACTTTGCCCGACCCGGGAATCGAACCCGGAACCCTTAGTCGCAATTGCGACCACTCGGCCAACGAGGCAGTCTTCATAGTCAGGCATAGATTATTAAACAAACAAACAAAAAACAAACTCTTCCACTTTATATAATAGTATAAGAGTATAAGATTTGCAAGGTCACTAATAAATAGCTAAGGATCAATGAAGCATTAAGTCCTGGGTTGGGCTGTTATGAATCTGTAAGATTTCATAATGCATGTAGATATAACATTTGTCAATCACTAACAACTTCTTTTATTACATGGGAATAACTTCATAAACTAACATTGTGACAAATGTATGTATCATACCACCACAACTACCACTAGCAGACTCTTACGGACACAAACCCCAATACTGAAAGGGTTCTTTTTACCATATATTTTAACCCGTATATCCCCAAGCAGTCACTGGTGACCGCTCTCCACTAACTACATTGTAGACCTTATTTCCAATGTTTAGAGACTACTTTTGTATGAACAAATTTAGGGGATGATTTTCAAAAATGTTCAACAGGTTAAGTTGTATTTTACATTGTGCAATCTCGATATCATGCATTATTGTGCCATCGCTGTCATTTTACAAAGAATTTGTAGTGATAGAACTATACTTAAGTATGACTTAAAACATAGTGTGTTAGTATTTGGACATAAAAACCACCATAGTGTCCAGTCTCACATGTAGGCAAAAATGCATGACAGAGAAATTATGCATAGCACATACAAGTATTATGATAAACTTTTTTTCTGATTATGAAAATGATGATGATTGTCAGTCAGTCTTACTTAGCCTCATCCTCAAGTTCCTTCTGCTGCTGTTCCTTGAGCTTGGTCATCTCCTCCTCATTGTACTTGCCGAGTTTGTTTCGCTGCAAGAATGAGCGAAGAGTATCGCCTTTCTTTTCATACTCTTCTTCAGATAAACGAAATCTAAAATAAATATAAGTGTGGTACTTATTTCGGAGATGAGTATTGGTATTGGTACTATTATAAAAACAAAACATTAGTTAAATTGTGGGAATTAAAAGATATTTAATTTTGTGATTAATAGCATTTAAAACAGTTGATGAATAATGACATGGAGTCACTATATTCATAAAATTGATTTACATGGGCTATATTTTATAATAATTTATTGGTAAGAGTTTCAAGTAATAAATTAATATTATACTTATTAGATTTTACCTCTCAGCACTATCAGATGATGCAAAATCATGGACAAGAGCAAACTTATCAACCACATGTATCCGCATGCCATCGTCTATGGGGAAGGAGCCAAGCAGGGCTTCCTCATTGTCTATGTCGCAGATGTACACGTTCTTCTTATCATACAGCTTCAGTTTCATAGTAGCTGCGGATCCACCGGTGACCAGCTCCAATTTTGTCTATGAGCGAAATTAATTTTATATTGTAGTAAGTGAAATTAACGTGTTATTACATTCGATGAGCTAAAGATTATTTACACTGAACTTCTGTTTAAATTTGTAAGTTTAGAAACACAAATTGTTTTTTATTTATACGTTATTAGAAGGTGTGTTATGATCAAAATTTTCTGTAGTAACTACGAAATCATCATTTCATTCATAGAGACTTATAATACAATCAGACAGTTGCAGAGTCTGTAAAATATAATTTATTTAATAAGAAAATTGAAAATCTGTGTATCGTAACCTTAAACTCAAGAACAGTAATTCCTTTTTTGAATCTCCGCTCGATGGGCGCCGCATCTTCGCTGTCAGACTTCGTGATGTGCACGTTCACAAAATCCTGAGTAATTACTTGAATATCTGCCATAATTTAAGAGAAATTTTAAACCGATTGACAAAGGAATTTCTGATTCACATTCATACAAACAAACTGTCAATAAGAATTTCTATTGTCACTTGTCAGTTGTTAGAAACTGAGGTACAAACTCATATTTTAAACATCACAATAATTTGTCTCTTTCTTTTGCACAAGGATAATGGAGATAGACTGTAATCATAATGCCTAAACAGACATTTTTATATTTTACGGATACGAAACGTTTCTGCTTGTGACGCACGGTCTTACTCATCTCATTTCACTTGACACGAAATAATGATCGATCATGCTTTGTGGTATCGAGTACATTCTCATTCGATACCGGTACGTACTCGATACTTTTGCTCAATAGTACCTGGTATCGTATCGAATGAAAAATTTAGTTTAACCGTGCTATCTACCTCACTTGTTGTAAACTTTTTAATTCGATCGATTGAACTTATTCTTACCGTGGGGTCGTTTACAGTTCAAATTCCAAAGTAATAATTATACCCAAAATTAGGTAAATTGACACGAGAATGTATATCCAATTCTGTGACGTTAGTACCTTGAACGATTATTTTCTAAAGCAAGTACCATCACAAAGATAAGCGATTTCAGATTTTCGGCTTCACTGCAATTTGCTTTTGCTGTATTTTAAGTGACTGTATAGAGGCGGGATGCTACTGCTACTATTAAATATACCTCACATAACTTAATATTGTTTCTTTTTCCTACATTATCGATGTGTTTCATTCATTGCATTAATTTTTTTTTCTATTTTTTTACTAAATTTGTGTTCCAATACCATTTGTTTTTTATTTCCTGCCGAACTGAAGTAAAACTAACAATTATGTATTGACCTTTGCTCTACCTATCCAAATTTTGATCTGAAAAAAAGGACTCGATACCTCAAAGTATCGATACTTTTTATCGATTCTACTATCGATACCGTATCCCTACTTGTCATTTTTTGAAGTTTTCAACGTTCCTTTTTACGGTATTTCACGATTCATATTTAATTCTGCTTCTACTCTTGTGGCGTCGATTCGTTTACACAGTACTCAATTTTCAGTCAATTTGGAAATATAAATACATTGCGGATCACTCGAAAATTTGTTTTGTGCGGGAATCGAACACTGCACTGCACCATTCGTACTGTCAAAATCTGACCATTAGAATCTAATTCAACACCAGCCATCGTCTTTCTTTAATTTCTAAAATAATGAACTCGTACCATGGTTTTATTTAAACTTTTTTCCCCAACTAGGAACTCCTCAAGATTGATTGTAATTCCAATTTGGTCGCCAACATCATGTCACTGTTAAGAAATATGGAAAATTTTGGTGTATATTTGAACCTTTTATGCAGTTTTCTTGTAGTAATTTTCTGAGGGTTGGGTCTGAGGTCCCCAAGGGCGGTATTTTATTCACCAGATGGCGCTAGTGCGAAACTATCGACCGTTTGTCCACTAGGTACGGAAAAAATCACACCACTGGGCGTTCACCATTGACGTCTCATTGATTACGATCTAACGTACAATGATTGGATGGAATGACGAATTAGCTTACGTCACATAAGCGCTCATCTTGAAGGCACACAGAATAGATTTTATTACGATTGGTAGATGGGGTAGACTTAATTTTCTAGCACAATATCACTGAAAAATAGTTAAACGAATAGGCACTTCTTAAGTAGACAACTCAGTGGTGTTAGCTCCCTACCCCAACGACAAATTGTATTCGTTATACAGAAATGATAAAGTTCAGTGTCTTAATAAGAAACCAGTTTTTACCCGACTGACGAAAGGGTATTGTTTTTCGCACTTATTTTGTATTATGTACACGAGTGCTATATTCTTTATTACCTCATTATTCTCCAAAATGTTTTTCCTACAACCACAATGAAGTAATGAGGATAAGAATACTGGTTATTAAATTCAAAAGTTACACTTGCGACCACAACTAAAGAGGAGGCAGTCACACTTAATCCTCTAAGATTTTTCTAGACTAACCTAGATAGAGTAGCTTAATCCTTTCATGTTTAGGAAATCAGACATAGATAATGGTACTTTAGTTTCAAGGAAGGGTCAATAAAATAAGAATGGAGATTAGTATATTAATCTGGATAGGATTTCTTTATAATAATTGCAGACACGTCGAGTAGGTAGTCCAGTCGGCAGAATTTGTTATGCTGAAGGCTCGTTTAAGCTGTAGCTGAAACGTAAACAAAAACAACGCACAAACTAGTCAATGTGTGCAAAAGGGAGCCCGCACGTCGACAGAGGGACCCACGGAGACATGCTGCACTAGAATACTAACGTGTTCCGGTATCTAATCAAACATTGCTCCAATGAATTTTCAAAATTTTTATTCAAGCAAATATGACAAACATTGAAGCATGCATTGAAAATATAATGTTTATCTACACAGCTAAAACATTACCTAACATTGAAGAGTTTAAAATGAATGGAGTAGGTAAATCTCAATGATATAATAAGACTCACATTATAATTTTATAAAAATATGTTACATATAAACATCGATGCTACGAAGCGTAACATAGCACAGTTATTGCGCTGTATTCTCCAAAGTAAATATACTTATTGCCAGCCTACAGTAAAACCTAAATCCATAAACAATTTAACTACAGATATAGTGCCTATATAAATTTATAAAACATTTATGTTTATATCTATAAAATAGATTTAAATAGTCGTTACTTTAAAATCCGTTCCCTACCGCCACCAAATTACCTAAGACAAAGAGAATTGTTTTAAAACCTAAATGGTTTTAAAGGTGCGAAATAGTACTAACAAGTTTGGTGGAAATGTTGAGTAATATTAGATAGCAACGTATCTTGCTAATAAAAAAAAGTAATTATACACATACAATTCGAGTAATCGAAGTTAGTAACGTAAAAATAAAAAAGAACTTAACAAACAGTCGTCAGGTCGACGTAACACAATATCTAAACACATGAGTCCAATAGTTGAGACAGTAGCATCTTCCGTTCTTGTAGTGCCGCTTCGCTTCCAGTATATCCGTGGCTGATTCGGGTGACGCGGCCGCCGCACAGGTATTTTGCACACATTGCTAGCGATATAATATGTCGAAATGGTAATCATTCGTATTAGATAAATTAAAACGATTTAACTACTTCATTACTTTACACTAGATTAATGTACTATAACTTTCGATCCCATTTCGACATTATGCAATAATAAAATAAAGACGCCCGCCGAGTACAATTGTGCATGTCTCTCAACTTATTACTGTTGCAACATGTAGATCGGTAATTTAAGTGAACATAAAGTAAGTCCAGAAAGAGAGAGATATTATAAAGGACAAGTCGCGGACATGTTGCAACGTCGCAGTAGTGTGTGCAATAGCGTGCAATTGTTCTAGACGCGCGTACAATGTGTATCATTAGCAACCGTACCTGGCCCGGGTCACTCGACTTGAGTGCCCAGGCGCGTTCCTCTTCTACGCCTCGCGTGCCGTCGATCAAAACAAAACACCACTTTTGGTAACCAATAAGGCACTCATATATTTCAACTTTTTTGTTTCGAGTATAAAAAAATATCTTTGGCGTTATAACGGTTTCGGCGGTCGGCAGAGCGATAGCTACGCTGCGGCAGGTAGCGGCGGTCGCTCGGGGCCCGCGGCGTCACCCGAATCATTTCCACTGGAAATATCCCACGTTCAGCTTCCATCGTCGGCGCTGTCAAGCGGCTCCTTCTTTACTCTCGGCACTCTGTGGCTCCGATACTTCGGCCTCCTGTGAACTCTCACTTTGTTCCAATTCAGGACTAAACATATCGACAGGTTTCGAGGCCTCCATGCTAGATTCTTCAAAATCTCTTTCAGCGATAGGAGGTGGCGATGGTTCTCGCTCGTAATCTGTGGCCGCGGGAGCTGAGAAGTTTGTCGATAGTATCATCTGCGTCGTACAAAGTGTTAGCACACTGTTCCTGCGCTCGCTCCTCCGCCGGCGGAGGCGAGGGTTCTGGGGGAGAGCGCTCTGGGATGGAACTCTCCGGGGGCGAGCGCTCTGGGAGGGAGTGCTCTTGGGGCGAGGGCTCTGGGAACGAGTGCTCTGGGGGCGAGGGCTCTGGGAGCGAGTGCTCTTGCGGGGAAGGCTCTGGGAGCGAGTGTTCTATAGGCGAGGGCTCCGGGGGCGAGCGCTCCATCTTGTCGTCCAGCCCGCCAGGACTGGGTTCCACAGAGCGCTCTGTTAGGCCGGGAGTTTCGTTGCTATCCATGCTGTCTTCAGGAGGCTGGAAGCCTTTCTCAGATTCAGTTTCGTGTGAAGGAATGCTGTCGCTGACCTCAGTTTGTACAGTTTGTTCATCTTGACTAGTAGTGTCGGTGGCCTCGCTGGGCTCGGCACTGGCGGCGACGTCGCCGGCAGCCTGTGTGATGGTTGCCTCAGTTTCCTGCGGCTTCTCACTTTCCCCGTTGCCTGTAGTTTCTGCTTCCTCGGCGGCGCCCCATCTAGACTTCCTATCTCTGTCTCGTCTAGAACTATTCCTATCATTTTTATCACTTCGTTCATCCCGCGATGGCCTGGATTTACTCTGGCTATCCTCACGTCTGTCATCACCACGGCGTGCATCAGCAGGCTTGTTTAGTTGAGTTTCATCAGGACGACGCGAGTCGTTACTTCTATTCTGGTTGTCATCACCGCGACGCTGGTCACTAGGTCTACCTTGGTCGTCAAAGTTTCTCCTCCTGTCTCCTCTATCTGGCCTGTTATATCTGTCCTCGTGGTCCCTAGGTGGCCTCCTATCTCTGCGCCTGTCATCCCAGTCAGGTCGTCTGTCGCCCCAATCTCGGTCGCGGTCTCTGTCTCCGCTCCATCCTCGGTCGCCGTACTGGTCGCGATCATCGAAGCGTCCTCGGGGACGGTCGAAGAACTCCGGGGGACCGTCGAAACGCGGCGGTCCATCGAACGGTGGTCGGTCACCTTCGAAGGGCGGGTCGAATGGACGAGCTCCGTCGAAAGGCGGGCGCGGGCCGTCGAACGGTGGGCGCGGGCCGTCAAACGGCGGTCGTGGGCCGTCGAAAGGAGGTCGGTTCATTCCATCAAACGGCATCCGTCCGAACGGTGGCCTCTCGAAGCGCGGGCCGCCTTCGAACATGGGCGGGCCGCCGTCGAAGGGAGGCCGCGGGCCGTCGAATGGCGGCCGGTTGAATGGGGGACCCATGCCGTTGAAGCGGGGGCCGAAGGGACCTGGGCCGGGGCCGTCCATCCAGGGACCTGGAAGTAGTGATACATAACATTAGGTCTGGCTGCAACACGCTGTGTGAGCTGACATAAGAGGTAACCTTGTCTAGCCATACCTGCCATCGGTGGCCTAGGCGGTCCTCTCATTCTCAATTCTGTAAATGGAAAGACGCCTTTAATCGATAAAATTTGTTTCGAAACATCTCAACTAAGTATACATCAAATAAATTTTGCATTGATTTGTTATTTACGGCATTCTAGAAGGAACCTGATACCAGAAATTATCTTTGCTTTGTACTAAAAAGTTAAATTATAGATAAATGAGGGACCCCACATACAGACAGAAAATATAAAATTAATAATTTAAATAAAAGTGTAAAGACGACGGAAAATTCAGTGCAGTGACAGCATGAAGAAGGAAGAAACAACATAAATGAAGACGACTGCTAATTATAATCTAAGTTAGGATAAGTTTAAGTGTTATATATAATCTACTATTCTACTAGAAGCAATTAATTGCAAAAAAAACTTCCTAGTGTTAGTTATTATTTCTCAATAATAACTAACACTAGGAAGTAACATTTTTCATAAAATCAATAACACTTTTTTACCCCATGGGACCAAAACAACCGGTCGTGACATCGGAGATTATCACTGCTCATAGCAAAAATGGTAATGCAGAACTTTCATTTCAAATAAAGTAGTTTTCAATGAAATATTTAACAAGAAAACTGCATGATAAACTATGTACCTACATACATGCATTTGTTTCAAAAGTACAAGTTATTTTTAGTAATAATGGAAAAGAGATAATTTTAGAAGTAAAGCAGAAGAAACTAAAATTTAAAATAAATAGAGAAATCAACTAAATAAGATTTAGGAAAACGACGAAGCTACCAATGTTACACACGATACATACAGCTTTATATTGTATTATACAGTTTTATATTGATTACTTTGTGTCATGCAATTTCTACAAAGATTTACAATATTTACATAGTCGTTTAATTATTTAATAGCGAATACCTTGTCATGATTATCATTGTGACAATTTTAATAATTTTATCGTGTGTGTTATAAATTATAATACTGACTGATGTCACAGATTAGATTGTCACTAGAAGTAGGTACAATTTCTCAATTTACGAAACCAAATTCTATTTGAATATAAAAAAAATAGGCTGAAAGTGAATTAGTAGAAAATATTTCACATAACTTCTTGAATTACTCTCTTATTGGCCAGTTAATAGGTTATGACTATCAAGCCGTATGTATGATGCGAACAGAGGCCTTAGTAAGGCCTCAGAGCGTGAGCTGGCAGGCAAAGCAGTGAAGTATGCAAGCATGCAGTGGCAGTGAGTGACTGACCGGCGCGGAAGTGTGGCGCCAGGTGCGGCGGCGCCAGGCGCGCGCCCAGCGACGTCCAGCCTCCCTCGCCGCCCTCCGCTGGACATACACTCGGGTTACTTACATGTACGTATTAATATAATAACTATTTGTGTGGTACTGAAAACTAGTAACTCGTTTATCATGGGCAATGGATATTAAGATTTTTTAGCTGACGCACGTAACGTAACGTAGTTTTAAGCCATGCTAAAGGCTCATTCATGAGCTCGCTGCTATTCTACTACTCGAGTTCCTCGTCAAACAGTTACGTAAGGCGAAAAATATAATAATTTATGTCCATTGTTCTAGTTCTCAGTATCACCCAAATAGTTATTGATTTATTGTGTCTCACGAAAGTTATAATTTAGAGTACTGACATGTTGCTAACTTATTTTACTGTCATAGCGTTTCGAGTTTTTACTTTTTAGTGTCGTATTTGGTGTTGAATTTAAAAAATTCATAACAAAATAAGCACAAAAATTTTCAGATGCTGATTGGCCATAATATCAACCTTATCGAAATTTCGCGACACGCGAATAATTTTTTCAATTACCAAAGCTTTAACGCGCCCTCATCCAAATGTATGTATACAAATAAAATATCTGTCATAAGCTTTAGATCTGATAAAGCAAGCACAACTTCACTTCGAAAAATAAACTTAAAGGTATCATCACATTTCCTCCTCAAAAGAGATGTTATACTAACCAGCATCCATGGCAGGCGGAGGTCCATCAAGCCTGGCAGGCAGTCTGTCAATGAGTGGCAGTCTGTCGTTCCTCTGTTCGTCCCGCGAGTCCTCTCTCTGCTCTGCGAAGTCCTCTCGTTTGTCCTCCCTCGTCGGCTTCCCATTGGCCATCTCCCACAGTCTCTCTTGTAGACTCTTCTCTGGGTTATCGTTGTTTGCCGGCGCTCTTGGTGACTTTTCTCGACTGCCCGTACGATCTCTGTGGAGATTAGTATTGTATTAATATTATGTAACATTTTAATTGCATGTTAAAACTTGACGTTGATCAAAACCAACGTAATAATTATATGAAACGAAATTAAAAAAATATTTTTTTACAAATCGGAAATAAAATAAAAAGAATTTTGCAGTTCAGCGCAAAAGTGAAAGGCAAAAAATAAGGCTTAGATAAGCTGTTTCATTTCAGAACTAATTTTTATTGCTTTTGGCATATTTTTTCTAGATTTCATAGGACGATTTGTCAAAATCCCTAAAGAATAGGGAAGGTCACCAGCTGGACGGAGCTTGCTTCTAATCAACCAATCTAAATATTTTTAAGAAAGGCCTATTATGTAGTGAATGTCTTATGGTATAATTTGTCAACAAAATCTACCATACAGGGTGTAAACGGAACGCTCCCAAAAACGCCGACAGGTGATCGCTACGATGGATTTGTCCACGTGTGCCATCAGGTAAAAAACACATAAAAGTAAGGAATTAAATGTTTCCTTTATGTAATAACTAACGACCCGCCCCGACTGTGCACAGGTTCAATATTCATGTATTATACATATAAACGTTCCTTAAGAATCACTTTATTAATTTAAAAAAAAACCGCATCAAAATCCGTTGCGTAGTTTCAAAGATCTAAGCATACATAGGAACAGACAGACGGCAGATAGCGACTTTGTTTTATACTACGTAGTGATAGTTGTAATCAACTGCTCAAAGCTGATATTGCATGAATAACGCAATAACAAAAATGATTAAAATTGTAAAAACAATTTCTTTATGTCAGCGTTTTAAGTAATTGCTAACAAATGTAATTCTCACCTATTATTATCTCTGGAAGAGAATCTGTCTCCCCGGTTTTCGCGATCTCTATCCCTGTCTCTATCTCTCCTGTCCCGACCTCGGTCCCTGTCGCGGTCCCGACGGTCGTCTCGTCCCTCACTGTGGAGAAAACCGTTATTAAGTTTCCCTATGTTCTGAAATAACTCGTCTTGTGTCTTAGTTGAAATGAAACACATACTATAACGTTGTTTGGAATGCGAATGAATTAAAACATTCTTGAAATTTTTGATTGTTTAATAACTTTGTTAACTAATTGAAAAAAATATTAATTCAACATTCTCTCCAGGATTTTCAGTGTAGCAAAATGCTCATGTTTTATGGGTGATGTATTATGTATTTCAACACCAGTAACGTATTTTCTTCTTACTGATATATTTAGATAGATATTCTTCAATTTCAAAACTTCATTGCGGACAAGATCTTACTAAAATGATATAAATAAACCAAACTTACCGATCTCTATCCCGTCCTCGATCCCGATCACCTCTATCTCTTCGATCACCCCTTTCCCCCCTTTCTCTCCGATCCCGATCCCTCTCTCCTCTTCTGTCCCTATCCCTGTCCCCGCCTCTCCTGTCCCTATCCCTATCCTTCCTGTCGTCCTCCATCTTGTCATCAGGAGGTGGTTGATTAACGTTGAATGGTGGTGGTTCCGACATGTTGAAGCCTGGAGGAGGCTCTGCTGAGTTGAAGTTTGGAGGAGGTTTCGATAGCAGGGCTTGTATCTGTGGAAAAAAAAACATTTGTATGGTAATGATTTATTGATTTGTATAATTAAGAAATTGAATTAAATAATAATATAACTTTATATTTAGATGTTGCTAATTTAATGTCACTGGTAAAATTGTCGCAAACGTAAGTGGTTTAACAATATACTAGCTAGGGTATTATTTCCAACATTAAAAAATTCTCAGTTATATCTCATTAAGTCGTGTATGGCAAAATATATATGGCAATCAACAAAATAAGGGTTGGATTATAATCAAAACTTAATTCCCGAGTAAAATAATGACAAATATTACAATGTATTGATCATCCATCGACCCTGACGACAGCATATGCATCCCCATCATATAGATGGTTGGCAGGCCACAACTGTGCGCTTCTCACGTAGCTTCCTGCCTCGCACAGCAAAACTGTGGAATGATCTGTCGTCGGCGGTATTTCCGAACCGATACGTCCTACAAACCTTCAAGAAAAGAGCGTATTCCTTTTTAAAAGGCCGGCAACGCATCCTGGTGTTGCGGGTGTCCATGGGCGGCGCTGATCGCTTACCATCAGGAGATCCGTCTGTTCATTTGCCTCCTATTCCATAAAAAAAATGTAATGATGTATCTGACCTGGTCAGGCAGTAGTGCAGGAGGTGGCGCGGAGGTGTCGGTGGTGTCGGCGGCGTCGTCGGCGTGCGAGTCCTCGGGGTCCAGGTCCATCGCGTCGTCGCTGGCCGCCGCCTCGCCTGAACGCTGCGGGGGAGGACGAAAATGATGAATGACATTTAAATTGTTACAGATGTTACAATCTCCTACATTTTAATAGTAGTGACATTTTTAAAATCTATATTTTTATCAAACAATAATAGATACAAATTGTAGTAGAAAGTATTTAGTCAGATGTCATTGAATGGATATTATTCTGTCAGATTTGCAAATTATTCGAAAATCGAGGCAAAGGTATTGAGGAATTAAATTTAATGTTAATTACTTATTTGGGAAACAATATTGCATACATTTTGTACAATTTACTACTAACATAATATTAATTAAACTTACAGCGGGTGGTGCAGTGGTAGTATCATGTATGGCGGGGTGTAGTAGTGGCACGCCCGGGAGTAGACCGCCCACACCTAGCAAACTGCTCAGGAAGCCACCCACCATACCTAGGGAGGAAAACAAAAAAATGTGTTAAAATCTTAATTAATTCAGGACTATTCTAAACTGTTTATAACTAACGTCATCGACCAGAATACATATATACGTCGGTATGTAGTGTGAGTGAGGTTACCGGAGACCCAATTACCCTCCCCTTCCCCAATCTCCCCAATTCCTGAATCCCCAACGATTCTCAAACTCCTAATCCCCAAAAGGCCGGTAACGCACTTGTAACGCCTCTGGTGTTCCAGGTGTCAATGGGCGGCGCCGATTGCTTACCATCAGGTGATCCGTCTGCTCGTTTACCGGCAAAGCCATAAAAAAATTACTGGTAAACAAGTTTCCTTGTTGATGGTGTTGGCATGCTTGATGATTGTAGTATGTCATCATAAATTAGGGTCAAAATTCTTACTGCTCGTACTTTGATAGTAGGTTGCAGGAACAAAGGGTTTGTATAGAATCATACCATATTTCCAGACATTACCATATTAACAACTTAAATTAATAACCAATCCAAAACCTCTCGATTGACTTTGGTTTTTGACAGAAATTATTATCAAAAATCGATTAATTGAGATTGGAAATTAATGTCGCCCGTAGAAGTATAGTTTAATTTAGTAGGCTACAACACGATGTTCTTCAAGAAGGTAGTAAATAGGTTTTTCAAGGGTCGACAAGGCGCATCTTGTTATGCCCCAAGTGTTTTAAGCGTACATAGGCCACGGTAACCGCTTACCATCAGGTGGGCCGAGGGACTTTTTGTCACCGTCGCGGTATAAAAAAAATATGATTAGTATAATGTGAACATATACCGGTCTGCGCGAGTGACTGCGGCGGCACCCCGGGCGGGAACCGAAGCAGCGGCGCGCCCGGCGCCAGCCCCGCCTCGCTCTGCAGCCCTACAACATACCCTGCCGCTAAGAATATAACTATTAGTGCATCTACCTTTCAACACGAACATGGCCATTACATGAACACGAATACTACTAGGCGAGATAGTGGCCAATCTAACCAAGGGCGCCCATTAAAAAAAAACAATATAATATAACATAACATCACGCCTTTTATCCCCGAAAGGGTAGACAGAGGCGCACATTACGGCACTTAATGCCACTATACAATGCAACACCCACTTTTTCACTATTTATGTTATGAGTCCCATGTAATAGGGGTTGACCGGGGAATCGAACCCGAGACCCCTTGCCCGGCAGTCGCACTTGCGACCACTCGGCTAACGAGGCAGTAAAAAAAAACTACCGAAACAATTTTTTTTCATTTATCTAGTGGCTAAAAATGCGACCGTTGAACAAAATATTGTGTTCCACGAGGTGTTCTATATAATAACCATAATTATGATCATTTGATCCTTGGGTTAGGGCTTTTGAGATTTTCGACTGTGAAATTCTTAGTTGTAAGAAAATTTTGAACAAATAAATTTTTTATTACTGGCGAAACGTGAAAAGGGTTTATGCACTCTGATTAACAGGCATAATATGGCTGATAAAATAGCCTAGCAGACTGACAAATTATGTAAGTTTTGAAATTAAAGTTTAAATGTATAGAAGTAATATTTACCAGGTACTCCACTGGGCATGTTGGGCAGTGTGGGTGGTCTGATACCTGGGGGTATACCTGGGGCTAGTCCAGGTGGTATTCCTGCTGACATTCTAGAAAGTAGAATATTTTTAATTAGTTCGGTTACAGATAGAGTTCTAAAAACAACAGTATCAAGAATGGTATATTTAATATAGAATGTAACTAAGCTTTTAGTTAAAATTTATACTAAATTAATTAATGTTACAAATTTTTCCATCAAAGTATTCAATTTTCAAATTAAAGACCTATTCAATTATCAAATTACAAATTAACTCAATTCCTAATGTGGTTTTGATAATAAATTAAGTATCTAGAGATGGAGTAATTACCCTGGAGGAGGCATTCGCGGTATACTAATAGCAGGATTGGCTCCCGGAGGTAAGTTGGGGGGCAGACTGAGTGTAGGGGGCATGCTGACTGGAGGCATGGAGACGGGGGGCAGGCTGCCCGGCAGGGTGCCCAGCGTGCCCAGTGCCAGGCCCGGGCCCGCGCCAGGCATGCCTAGCATTGACATGTTGTCCATCATCGTTTTGGGCAGGATCTGGAAGATAGAGTAAACAGGTTAATACAAGAATTAGAGTTAAGCAAGAACATGCCTTGTCTTTGCACTTTGGAAAGTTTAAAGTTGTTTATATTTCTTTATCTTGTAGTATAGCCATTTTAAATTTGTAAATGGTAGACAAACCTTCAATGCTGTGACATTCGATGAAAGTTTCATCAATATCATTTGATAATTAATGACATTTTTTTTTATTTATTACATATTATGTTGTATGGTTTTAATTATTTTAACTTCCATTTAAAACTTTTGCACGCCCGAATTGTAGGCAAAATAAGAGAAGATTATATAATTATAAATGTGAACACTACATAACTTGTTCAGACAATTAAAAAAAAAATTTTGGTTTATCTAACTCTTTCAGTGACACTTTTAAGTGTTTAAGAATATATATTGAAATGCTAAGAAAACCTAAAGCAAAAAATGAAGCATACAACAAAAGTTTAATTTCTAAGATTTAACTCGTTGAGTACCGTCATTATAGACACAATTAAAGAACAATAGGTTGCGGTCACCGGTGACCGCTCGGTGTTTGACAGTTTAAGGTGGGTAGCAACAGTGAGTTTCCTAAGACTGAAAGAGTTAAAATAGTTTAGATTTACGATCGATACCATTACGCTAGTTTTATGTCCATCGTCCTAAATAATAGATAACACAGTTACACCCACGAAATCATTAACTCAATAAAAGAAGTATTTTCCAGGCAACATTGAATTAAACATGTTTAGCAATAATTAAGATATATGTACCCTGGGCGGCAGCCAGGGCGGCAGCGTGTCCTCGTCGACGGCGCCGCCGTCCTCGAGCGCGTCGAGCGAGAGCGCGCCGAGCGCCCAGCGCGCCTGCAACGCGGCCCACGGCAGGTACGACACGCCCAGCTCGGCCTCCCAGTAGTCCTTCCACTCGCGACCCTTCACGCCCTTGCCCGGCGCCCACGCCACCTGCGTGAAAAAATTGAAAACGGACCAATAAATACATTGTTTTGTTACCTACTGTTATAAAACTTATTGTACCAATTTTAAAATGACCAAACTTTTTTTGTTTACTTAGATAAACAAAAATAGGATATTCAATATATCAATAGAATCGTATATAATAAATATCTCATAAATAATCATATATTAACATTAAAAGAGTAGTCATATGGTACAGCTAGAAAATAATACTATAATCAACATACCGTAATCTCTTTAGAATGCAGTTTATGCCTGTTTAGCTTGGCGATGGCTTTAGCAGCGTCCCTTCGTCTCTCCATGACAACGAAGGCACATCCTCGCGGAGCGACGACGTCGATGGCGGCCACTCCGCCGATAGCACCAAAGAGGTCTGACAGTTCCTCAGGAGTCGCCAGTTTAGATAGGTGGCCTACCCATAGAGTTGTGCTGCATACTGAAAGATTATTATAGTTTGTTAGAGCTGGTTAAACTGTCAAACATCAAGCGGTCACCGGTGACCGCAACCTATTGTTCTTTAATTGTGTCTATAAAACCGGTACTCGACGAGTTAAATACGTTATTGGTTGCATGGTTGCTGGGCAAGGAAACTTGGTACAGATTCACAGTTCAAACAGAGTATAGCCTGGCTATAATAACCACATAAGCTAGTATTTTAATGATTCAGTGATATTTTAGTGACTGGCTTGTTGGCCGAGTGGTCGCAAGTGCGACTGACAGACAAGGGGTTCGATTCCCGGGTCGGGCAAAATATTACAAGGTTTTTTAAGAATTCTCAGTAGTAGCACTGAATCTGGAATTGTGCCCGGTATATGGCAATAGGCTCACCCCACAATACATGGGACTCATAACATAAATAGTGAAAAGTGAGTGTACAGTGGCATAATGTGCGCCTCAGCCTACCCCTTCGGGGGTTAAAAAAGGCGTGATGTTATGTTTATTTTAGTGATAACACAGATCAAGCGCATCCATTTTGTAATACCTTCAATCCCAAGCACATTCATTCACAAACTCCACTTCACATAAATCTTTCATAAACTATGTAAAAAAACCGACTTCAACTCTCTGTATTTGTTCTTGTACTTTCTCTTAAATGTAACATATACTTAACCAAATTGAGAATTCCTTTTTTGAAGTCGGTTAAAGAACTTAAGAATGACTCAAAAGAAAAAGAGCTCAAAATACTTGGTTTGAGACTTACCACTAAGATTTTCTTTCTTGATTGGTGGAAGTCCTTTCTTCTCTCGCTCCCTCTGCTTTTCTCTTTCTGCTTCCCTCTCTTTGTAGTTCTTTTCCTTATCTCTGTCTCTGTCTTTATCTCTGAAAAATAAATCACAATTCATTAGTTCGCATGCATACGAAACATTCATGAAAAAACAACATACCACTATACCTCTAATATAGCTATTTACTAAAATATGAAAGACACAATAAACTATATACTATATATACTAAAAAGATAAAATCTCACCTTTCTCTATCGCGATCTCTGTCCCTTCTTCTCCTGGGTGACCTGGACCTCGACCGCGATGACCTTCGACGACGTCGCGGCGACTTTGACCTCGAACGATGTCGCCGAGATTTAGGTGATGGACTGTTAACAATTTATTCATTTGTTACAACGATTTATTAATGAGATTATTCTGTTGTTTAAAAAAAAACTTTTTTAGAAATCCGGATATTGGCATAATTTTTTATCAGTTATTTTTACATTACATTATAGAATATGATACCCAAAAGTATCATTGTTTTCAGATAATTATCTACATACTTGAATAGCGAAAAAAACCAAACTATTTCACGAAGAAAACAATCCCTAATAGGTACAATTACGATTGCCAACATTTTTCTTAATGAGAAAAACAATAGTAGTACATTCTGTACTTGCGAGATGTCATAAAATAATTACCTAGAATCATTCGCGTCAGGAATTTCAATGACTTGTGGTCCAGTCTCTACGAACTCAATGTCAGACTCAACCATATCATCCTTCGGGTCATTCTGTTTCTGGGAATCTGACTGTGATCCCTGGAAAGAAAAATAAAAAATTAACATACAATTTTATTAAACGCTAAAAAGCACACAACACACATAATGAGATTGGGAACAAACATAAAAGGAGTCTATGAATAAACATTTGGCCAGCATCTTGGGGCTCCTTCGTAACACATCATAATTCTTTAGGATATTACAAGTTGGTTGCCCTTATTCTTGTTTTTTTTTTATGATAGGCCTACGTTTGACCATTATCTCGTCTGTTGGTAAGCGATGATGTAGTCTACGATGGAGCACGCCTTTATTCCTTAACAAAATAAAGGCGTCCCCTCTATCTAATGAGAGAGTTTGCTATGATCTCCAGACCTGGTTTCGCAGTTAGGTCTGCTGCTGAGAACTGACCATAGTTTTAACCGCTTGAATGCTGGTATATGAGACACAATAGAAAATATAGTCTTTCACGTGGTCGTCGAGTGGTTCCGGGTTTAGGTACACGGCACGAGGGGTTAAAGATATAGTAAACATAGTTGCCAAGTATACACCTTGTAAACAATGTAAAACTTTAATAGATTTTGAACTTACCAAATGATAAAGTTGAAATTCTACTAAAATGATATGATATCTGTATAGCAAGGCATTCTAATGCAAATAACAATCGAAACAGGCGATGAAGGGGGAAAGGAATGAAACCTTTATAAAAGAAATCTTACCATAAATGGCAGGCCTTGATTTTGAGATTGTTGCATTTGGAGATCAGACATCATAGGCATCAGATTCTAAAACAATCAAACGAGTTGACTGTTAGTTATTAAACATTATTTTTGGGCCCTTTTCCCAATTAATTTATTAGTTCCTTCTAGTATCTGTTGGCTATGAGCATTTGTCTTTAGTATTTAGTATGGGATATGTTTGTCGAGTGAAGCAATTTGATAGTAAGGCTACATCTGCACAGGCAGTTGGCTTGCTTGGTGCCCAGTGCTTAGTGAGTCACCTAGCAAGTAGCATAGTAAAACGAACGTTCTAGAATGATCGAGACCAGCCGCATTGCGCGCTTGGAGCTTAGCTAGTCACCAAGGGCGAGGCAACTTAGAAGAAAAAATGCATGAAATATTAACAAAGCATGGTTGGCCCACTGAGGCTAGATTTTTAAAAGAATGGTTGCCTTATTGCGGCTACAATGTATCTCAGCAACTTAGTTACTAAGTGAATCACTAGGCACTAGACGCTGACCAACAGGCCTGTGTGGAGGTAGTATATATATATCGCGCAATGCTCATTCTCATGCAATTTGTTCATGCAATGGTTTTTAAAGTAGTACTTACAGGTATCTGCATTCCAGTCATCATCTGCATTTGAGCCTGCAAACTCTGCAGCTGCCTCATGATTTCAGGATTTGTTAGGATACTGAAACATTAGAAAGATTTTGTTTATATTTGTATGAATACAATTTTGATCATGGTGGAGTTAGTGCATCAAAAACTATATGCAACACCTAGCATGAGGTTTTCGGTTAGATTATCGTTATTGGGGACTTATAACTGGCAAAAAGTGGGTGTTACACTTATTAAGTGCGCCTCTATCAATTGATTGTATATTACAATAGGGAAAAATGAGTCACAAACTCCAAGGTAGTCTTGTACTGATAGGTATATTTGTGATGGGTATAGTTGAAGAAAGGGTAAGTAAATTATAGTATTTACCTGCCCAAAGCATCAGCGGGGTTTTGTTGCGCATGGGTAGTAGAATGCGTGGCGTGTGTCGAGTGCGAGGTATGCGTGGAGTGCGAGGAGTGCTGGGGCGCGGGCTCCGGCGCCGCCTCGTCCTCGCTCTCATACTCGAAGTCATTCAACAACTTCCTGTTGAACTTCGCCGGCTGACTCGAAGGTTGGTCCTGAAACTGTTTGAAAATAATATTATAAATATGAAACCAATTGTTGTCTAGCCCGTATAGGTAACAACAAGCGGTCACCGGTGACTGCTTGCCACTAACTACATTATAGATCTTATTTTCACTGTTTAGAGACTAATTTTTGTATGAACAAATTTAGTGGATGATTTTCAACAGGCTAGAGTGTGAGTGTAAATAAATGCACCTACCCATAGGACAAGACAGACCCTTTTTTTGGGTAAAATGAGTATCTAATTGGAGTTGGCATTTCCTATTAGATTTTTATTAAAACACTCATTGTTTGTGTCACAGTTATAGTTAAATGAATTCAATTTTAAAACATTGTAGTATGTATACATATTGTAGTTTAGCTATAATTTACTGTGATAATCATTCACTGTATAGCACTTTGTTGCAAGAAACAGTCTTACATTGTTTTTTTCTATTGTATATTATTATTTAGAACATGATTACAGGAAAAAGAAACAGTCAATTAGAATTAATTACATGCCTAATTTAATTAATTTTGTTCCAAGAAACCTCTTAATTATACTTGCACTTGCAAATATGTCATTCATTTAGTAATTAGCAATTATTACTACATTACTGATTACTACCATATCATTATCAAGCAATCAGGTATTAAATCATTTCCCCCAATGAACCAATTACAAGTAGATAAACAATTCTAAAGATAACAAAGTAAACATTACTTTTAATCGAGTCATATCTTTTTTTAATACTTGTAATGTTGTACAATAATGTAATAGGTTGGAAATCATGTTTAACCTCTTTTTATGATTGTACAGTTCAAAGAGGTCAATTAGTGATAAGGTTGATTTATCGAGAGTTATAGAGAATGCTAATTGACAGTTTAATTTTTAACAATAGTAAATGTTGGTATTGCCAAGTGGCAAGGCTGTCAGCTTGGAATGTTTTCAGATATTGCAATTGAGAGATGAATATTTTGATATCAAACTCTTTGAACATTCATATCTTTTATCATAAAGGATTCCAATTGCTGCCTTTTTAGCATTTACAGTTTGTGTGCTGTGTCGTTTGAAAATGAACCTTATTCTCTAATCAATAAAATACATTACCTGATCTCCCATGGGTGTGGAAGACTGTGGAGTATGAAGTGGTTGTGGCACAGGAGATATTTTGTTATCTGTTGCATTGTGACTTATGTTCAGACTGCTCCCTGAAATTTTATAATACCAATTTTATTCAATAGTCCGCAAAGTCTACAATTGCTTAGCAAAACCATTAAGTATTTTAGTGAAACTATGTAATGAAACATTCAACAAGTTTAACAGGTGGGTTGCACTTATAATAAAATCTTCAGATTAACAATTAAACCCACCCTTCTGTTATTTCATCAGTGGAATTTAATATTGCCAAAATTAATGAAGCTCAATATTCTCAGTTCACAATCTTTGGATGGAGATGAATTTTGTAATAATAGTTCTTTTGCATTTCTGTCAGAAACATAAACCAATCCAGAAATATAATTAGATTGGCTTGTTGATTTTTCAACTGCCATTTGTAACTTACATAAGTTGTGAAAAAAAAAATTAAATATGATATTTACCATTAGCAGTGTTGTTTTGTTGTTGTTGTATCTCTTGATGCAACGGGTGATTAGGATCAGCCATGTCAAGAAGAGGTTGAATAACTTGTGGACTGAACACATTGTTCTTTTGCCATAAATTAAGTACTCTGATAATATTCCGCTGAAAAACAAAACATTGTAATTTTTTAAAGGATTGTAATCCCAATATAATATTACTAGTCAGTTTATTAAAATGAGTTTAAAAGCTATGTTTTAATACCATGACACAAATTGTATGGTCAAGTTAGATTGTTTTGTTTGACAATACAAACTACCAATCATATTTATGATTTGCATTTTTAACTATTAATAATGTATCTTTATTCAAATAGGGTTTGATTAAGGGAGATTCTCCCCGAAACAGCATATAAACATTATATAGAATAGGCAGACTAGCAAATTCATTTTCAATAAGAATTTGCTAGATACATAGATAAGAGAGGAGCGAATTATAACCTAAAACATTCATTTTATGTAACTAACCTTATCCTCAGGAGGACATCTGAAGAGGTTTGCAAAGGTTTGTTGCATGTTCTTCGCAAACCGTGGCGCGAACACATCCTTATCCTGCCCGAACTGATGCCGGGACTGTCTCACTATTGAATCTATCACGTAAAGCCCAGGCACTTTATACTCTGGCTTGCATTTCTGAATGAACTTTTCAACACTGTGCACTACATGTTTATAGAACTTTATGGCCTTTATAGCACCTCTCGTGATAGCACTCATCTTCGCCTTTGAAATAGGCGGCTTGTTGTCGTACAACGCGGATAACTGTAAGAAAAATTTTGTTAATAAAATGCCACGGAACATTTTGTGTGATACAAAAACCAAGTAATAAGTATACCTCCGCGTTGAACGATTTAACTTCTGGCATTTCCATTTTGGCTTATTTGCTTCTTTCACTATTACATTTATTACACTACATCGCCAATAAAACTTATTATTGAAATGAAATTCATTTCGAGAGTCGAATCAACATGCTCAAAATTACAAAATGGCGTGCGCAGAATATCGTTGTCTATGGAAAAGTGGCATGAGTTGAAGCTTGCGTTCAGAACCAAAAAAAAATATTTACGGCTTTTCATTACTATTATAAAAAAAAATTAGTCACCGCAGTAACTTTTAAACAGTCATAAGTAGATATTAGTAGCAATGTAAAGGTGACAAAATCAAATGAATTCTATGTTTGACTTTTTTAAATGAATACTGCCCAAAACCCCAAAAAGTTATCTCCATGACACGTCATAGTATTCTCTATGTCAAATATTATCATGTCTATGATTATAGTGTCTATAGCACTGTCTATAGTGATGTCCTTTTATTTGGTGTAAAATTATTATTTTGATCTGAGCATCGTCATTTACGAGGAAAAAATACGTGGTATATATAGGTACATAATATACATATGCACAGATATTCCTTTAGAATCATTATTTTATGATTTGAAGTTCAAATTCACATCATTGATACTAGTTTTTATTCAGTTTGTAGTACAATTTCTACAACATTATACAAAATACAACACACGCGTAAAAACTATTTTAATTAACTTCCTAACATTTCGATAAGTCTTGACATCGTTGACATTCAATGAGAATGACTGACACCCCTATGTATTCTCTTTGGATTGGAATGGAATGACATATGACATCAATGGTCTTAAAAAATATTGGGCAGCGTTATTTTGGAAATGAATAAACATTTGTTTGATTGAACCTTATTTCGTTGTGGTGTTCGAGTTTTTGAGAATAGTATACGTTACTCATCACGTAGATATTTTATTCTGTGATATCTTTTTGAAAATACTAGGATTAGTAGGATTATAATATAGCTCAACTTAAAAATAATAATCAATAAAATAATATCTTTTAATGTATAAACCTCATTGATTCAAGCTAAATATCATTATGGCTGACGAATATGCTGCAGTTAAACGTGGAAAACTAATACTTAAAGGAGATAAGCCGAAGTAAGTAAAACTAAAAATTATAATTTACTTTTTATACATAACCTATATGACTAAATTAGAACTCATCAAATACTGTTGCATCATTATTAACTGCCATTCGTTTTAGGTTTGGATACGTATTTCGATTTGCATGTTAATTATTATCATTCTTTATTGATTTGTTACTTAATTATAATCAATCATTTAATTCTTAGCAATACTTCTTGCTGTAAACTCCACTGAATAGTGTACCACTAGATTAGAATGTAACTAATTATTTTGACAGGGCAAAGAAACGCAAACACAAGAGGAAGGAGAACTCGGAAGATTCAAAAGTAGACGAGGACTCCATGAAGCATGGTGGTTGGTGGAAGGTTGATAAAATTGAAGACATAACTGGCTCCATATCTATAGAGTTCGGCAATAATTCTTATGTGTCAGCTTTGGACAACGGGCTTTTTACCCTCGGTGCTCCACATGGAGATGGTGAAGGTCCTTCTCCAGAAGAGATATTCACTGCGTTTCCAGCTGGAGAGAACAAGTTTGCTTTGAAATCTGGCTATGGGAAGTATTTGGGAGTAGCCAAAGATTCGGTTGTTGGAAGATCTGATGCTGTTGGAGCTATGGAACAGTGGGAGCCTGTATGGCAGGAAGGTGAGTGATATAGAAACATGTAAAATACTTTGGTTTGAGCATTGTAATGCTAATTGATTGCAATCACTAATAAGACCACATTTATAGTGTCATCTTTTGCTCATAATCATTTTACATAACACCTTTTATCCCCGAAGGGGTAGGCAGAAGTGCACATTATGGCACTTAATGCCACTGAACAATGATACACCCACTTTTCACTATTTATGTTATTATGAGTCCCATGTAATAGGGGGTGAGCCTATTGTCATATGTCGGGGCACATTTCCAGACTCCATGCTATTACTGAGATTTTTAAAAACAGTAATTCTTTGCCCGGCAGTCACACTTGCAACCACTCAGCAAATTAGGTAGACATTTTAATGTTTAAAAAATTTAAAAGTGTCTTCTTGTACAGGTAAAACAGCAATCCTGAGTTCCCTAAACAAGTTTATGTCAGTGGACCCTGAAGATGATGCAGTGGTGGCTCGCACTACTTCGGCTGGTCCCAACGAGTTCTGTACCATCCGCAGCAATAAGACCAAGGAGGTCAACAAGTCCATACTGCCTGATGAAGAACAGGCTGATTTGTCACAAGTTGAAGTTAATTATGTGTAAGTACTCATTTAATTGAAATGTACATACATTATAACAAAATATGATAAATAACTACCTCTGCCCATTTTATACTATTTAAATATGACTATTCAAAAAATGGGTGTAATGTTTCAGGGTTTGTGTTGAAAGTCTAACTAGTTTTTAACCAACATAAATTAAAATTAAGAAACTAATGATATTTTAAGATGAAACAGATTTTTCTTCTTCTCCTCTTATAATATCTTCTGATTCACTGCGTTGCGGGAACCAAGACAGTTACTCATGTCCTTGGGCTGCGCCGGACTTTAATGTTCCGATGTTTTCATGGTTGTATCTACTGTAGATCCTGGCTTACAGGAGTTGCAGCGGTTTTGGGAGGTTTTGGTGGGCTGGTCCCAATTAAAAAAAAAAGATGAAACAGAAAAAAAATAGTGGATACAGCTAGAACCTGACAATAATTTCCTAAAATTGTTATTTAATTTTCCAGCAAGAAGTTCCAAAAATTCCAAGACAAGAAACTGAGGTTGAATGATGGGAGCATCTCAGAGCTGAAGAAAGCAAAGACAGAAGGCAACCTACATGAAACATTGCTAGATCGTAGGAGTAAAATGAAAGCTGACAGATACTGTAAATAATTAAATAGAACATAGTTTTATAATGAAAAACTGTTTTTCTTTATTACTCTCCTGAAATTATGGTAACAGAAAACTAAGACACTTGATAACTGATAGATTATTTTAGTGTCTTAAGAACACTATTCAGCGGACAGCTACTGATAGTCGCATCAGAATGGTGGTCATGAATACGAGGCGTGAAACTAGTCGAGTTCCTCGTCAAGCACTTACGTACGTTACGTGTCCAGAAAAATAATAAATAAATAAAAAATTATAGCAATAAATTAACAAAAACTACAAAATAATTAATCAAATTCGTTTAATAATAGCAACATTACAAGTTACAAAGAAAATCAATGGTAAACAAAACACAATTCACTTTCAAATGTTTTTATTTATTCCTCATGTAATAAGTTCCGGTACATTGGCCTAAACGATTTGCGATAAATTTTGAATACACGGTATTTTACAGAGAAACCATTTACTTATAATCAGATAATTTGAATATGCTACCTACATGTCTTATATAAAAACGATATCTACACCTAAATCTAGTGTTAGACTAGACACAGAGCTAGTCTATTGGAACATGATTTGAAGTGGCCTCAGTAGTCCAGTCTAAAGTTATGGTGTATATTGGATTTACTCTATTTAGTTTTGTGTGAATGTGTGATAGCATATCTTGCGTGTTTATGTTTATAACAACATTTAATAAGGTTATCTAGACACAATAGTTAGTTGTATAAAGTATAAACATTTTTACTCAAAGCATACAAACCACCATTTTGAAAAAGATATCAATAATGCTAATCAGTATAATAGATGCCATAAACACAAAGTCTATTTTATTCTCAAATATCCAATGATGGGAACAAAAAGTAAATAGGTGTAATATCAATGTAGCAGCATAACATACATTATTTGTCTTATAATTTCCAGTAACAGTTAAAGCATAACAGTAGTATCATTTCACTTTTATTTCGAAATAACAGACACTTTGCCTTCGAAGTCCAGTCCTCTGTATTTTCTGAATGCTTAAAGAAACACGCAAGATATGTGTATCGCACAAACACATTCAGTTTAGTTACCCTATGCATTGTGTTCAAAATCAGTCGAAAGGCCATCTGAAGGAGATACCAGACAATCGAAGCATTTCATTGAATTGCAATATGCTACGGCTAGTCCCACCAAGTATTGCTTAAAAATAAATATACACATCCTGTTCAAAACAAAGTATTTTCATGTTGTTGTACTGTTTTATTGCAAACATAATAATAAAGATCGGTGGGCAAATTAATATATTCAACATGTGTCAGTAGATTTTGATGTATGAGATTGCATATTTTATTTTTTAAATATATACTTGTATGAGAGGAGCATTGCAAAACCATAATATACATACATCTAAAATAAATGCTAAAAATATACACGTAAACTTATCTCTACCAAGTTAATTGGACAAATAATACATACAAAATACAATATAATGTACTGACCATTGATGTATCAAGCTCCTCATGTGGCCAACCAATATTTACAAAAATTGTGAAATAATGGCAATGGAAAATGTGCAGCATGCTTTTTAAAAATATAGTACTAGGGGCGCGTTAAGCGATAATTGTTCTACTAAAAAAGAAAACAAAAAATATTGTGTACAAACAATACCGCTTTGTTTTATTCTTTACAAAAGTCGTTACAAATTAGTTTACATCATTCTCTCGACAAAATACCCGAAACAGCTCGCATGATATGAATAAAAATATTAATGGCTCATACACATTGAAATGTTCACTCATTACTACATTTTGGCATGAATGGCGGAGCGCCTTCTATACTAGCGTAGTCAAAATGAAATTAAATAGTCGTTGTGGTTCCTCAACATTATAACAATGAAAAATTATTGTGGATGTGACTGTAGAGTTAAGAAGCAAGACAAGAGTCCATTCTCTATTCTATAAATCTTTATACACACTGTTTCCACCAAATAGAATGCTTGGAGAGTCGCAACTAGCGCCCGCAATATAAATTAATCACGTAATAATTAATTGCCCTGTTTTAACTGTTAATAAATTACATTACAGACCCTTATGGCTCAAGTATTCAAGGAAATCAGCGAGTGAGCTTGTTAATTGTTAAATAACACAGTACAGTTTGGGAACATCTCGCATATTTTAATCCTAAAAATTATGTAGACATGACACTAAATGTGTAATTGAAGATTTTATACTCATTCACTCTCTATGTCAGATCAATTACCTTGAGCCATAATCATAGATAGATGTTAATATCAAAGAATATGAAGTTGTTACAATAATTAAGAGTTCCTAACTCTTGTGCTTGTTCTATTCACATTCATCAATATGATTACAGAGAAATGAAGATGTATAAAAGAAAAATGGTAAATAAATAAAACTGAATCCCTGTCTCTAACAGACAACAATGTCATGTCTACATAACCAGAGTAACAATATTATAGGACTTACCATTGTGTTGTGAGAGAGCACACACATTCCCTAACTTAGATCTAACATACCATTGATATAGCCCTTCATATCTAATCAAGTCTTTTCCACTTTCCTTATATTGACCAATTCATAATAAAATCTATCCACATTGTTAGAAACAATGTCTTTCCCATTATCCACGGACAAGAGTACAAATGGAGTGCTAAGGCGGCCAAACTATTTGATTTTGTAGGGTGATAATAATCATTTTATGGAGAGAAATGAAGATATTTATGACCCGACATGATCTAATGAGGTGACTGGAAGGAAGTATGAGTTTGTTGAGTGTGTTAGCACTTCATTTGTAGCGGCCTGGCGGGTCCCTCTCACGACACGGCGGCAGTGCGGGCGACGCGGCCTCAGCTGGCGGCCGGCATGGCGGCGTCACCGGCGCGCTCCGCCCGCAACCACTCCACGAATTCGTCTAGCATTACCGGCCCTGAAACATCATAAATAAACTGTTAAGTCTAATATCAAGTGTGGTGATAGAAAAAGTAGAATACATCTTTTGTTATAATCATACAAAGGGACTACAGTTTTTTTTGGATTTTCGGAACCGCGGAAGACTTAAGGGGGGTTGCCGGGGCTCCGGCTCGAAGAGCAGGAGTAGGAACGGGGTGGTTTTTAACTCGTCGAGTACCGGTTTTATAGACACAATTAAAGAACAATAGGTCGCGGTCACCGGTGACCGCTTGGTGTTTGACAGTTTAATCAGTAAGAGTCTGACACTCCCTCCCACCTCACCCAGGCGGGAGAAGTCATTGGATGATTTTCCCCCCTCAAGGGACTAGAGTTTTGACAGAAACTAGGATCTGCAACATATCTTGCAAGTGTAGAGATTATGGCTAAATCTCTTTATCAGAGGATGCTTGTGGTCCAGCAGTAGTCTGTCAGTCAGTTATTAAACACTTTCCCATGAACCATATGATTCATCGGTCTGACAAGAAAACATTTCTTAATGTTTCTTAAAATTTTAAACAAGTGTCCTTGAACACCTCATGTATATACTTACAGGTCTTATAGCATTCTTTGAAACATAATTAACTTAAGCATCTTACAATATACTATCTTGGGTTAACATGCCATCAGCTGTTGAGATTTTAGCTCAGATGATAAGTATAATGACTTCAATGAAATTATTGGGGGAGGTGGATAATCATTATAAAATCTTAACAATAAGTTGCATACTAACAGGCTCCGTCAGCATCGTATGAGTTGAGCTGTGTATCAACAGTGCGACTGAACTCCAGTATGTTGCACCATTGGTCGCGGTTGACGACCCGGTAGCGACGCTCCCGAGCTAGGAAGTCGGACAGCGCCGGCCGGAGCGCCCAGCGAGGGAGTAAAACACCTAGCAGTGCGCGAGCTGTACCTGTCTCCAATGACCGCTGGTCTTTATCCTGAGAACAAATGAAATATAATTTTTAATGCAAATTTCTTAGTAACAGTCAAAAGCTTTTATAATCAAAGGAAATTATAAGTGGTCTAGTGGGCACGGGCAGCAGGAGTCCTGAGAGTATGAACAATGAGTACTATGGCATTGTAGCAGTAATAGGAGTATGCGATCTACGGTTTACGTGAGGTCTACGGTTTGAAAAAAGTATTATTGAGTTATTTGTTCATTTTAAATTTATGGTATATAAACTTATAGAGCTTTTAATCATACTTTCATCATTAGACTTTGTAATAGACAGAACTTATGAAAGTTTATGAACATTTAATTTGTTAATTAGTCATTAGATGTTTATTTCATTTATTGTAATAGGCACACAAGTAAATTAGTTAACTTAAAAAAAATAAGTAGGTAAGTATACTATTTAATTCATTAAGTTTTAACGCCTCAAAGCGCTATTTCGACATTCCAAAAAGGATATAAAATTTTACAAATATCCTATCTTTTCGAAAAATTCATTTAAAACATTGTTAGTCTAGTTAACATTTTTGTGCTTCGTGGTTATTGGCGTGGTTCCGACTCGGGTAAATACCAGTTCATATAAACCGAGTTATACAAGTAAAATATTTAAAGAAATCACAGAGAACTTATAGATATTCAGGATTAGTGCTTTAACTTTTGACTTAAATCGAGATAAATCGATATCGATATAAATTCAACCTGGAAGTTGATTTAAGTTTAGCTCGGTTGAATCGATTTAAGATTGATTTGAATAAATCGATTTAAGTCCTAAATCGAGTAGTAGGACAAATAGGATAATAGGGAGTTGATAGAGCACAAGTTTGGAAAAGACTCTGTAGACATATCATTAGATTCACAGTCGCTGTGCAAACCAATCGTTTGTTTAGAAATTTTGACACATTGAGTTTAAAAAGATAGAAGAAATTTGGAACTTGTGAAGGCTTACTGAGAGAATTCGAGAATGTCGAGAAAAAGTATTAACTTTAGTACCTGGTTATTAAAACCTATACTGCCGGCTCAGCCATTAGTACCTGGAGGTTTGACTCAAAATATATTAAGCACAGCTATACAAGTTATTGGCTGTTTTATTGGGAGGTGAGTGTTTCATTATTATCTATTTATTTTAATTTACATAAAAGTTTGTTAAGTATAGGTGTTTTCTATAAAATATATTTAAATATGTTTAGTAAACATGTATTTGTAAATTATCACTGGCTAGAGCTAAAAATCAGCGCCGTGGACTCGAGTCATCGGGAGCTAGCATTAAGCACTAGTAATTTTGCCCTGTGGTATTTTTTTATTGTTTCCTTTGGTTAGTATGTTATCACAAACTAAACGGGTATTCTTTCTTTCACTCATATTAAAATTGTGATTGGTTTGTGTTCCAGGAAAATTCAAGATGAGATTAGCAGGGTTCGTCGAAAGCGGCGCTTTGAAAAAATATTGGAAAACAGGCGCAGTGCCGAGAGACCTGAAACCTTGCCAGCAGTCATACCAATGGGTTGGGATTGTAGGCCGAAGAAACCCAGCGACCCAATAGACATACCACGACCACAACGTCATTGGAAGCTTCAGAGTGCATACAGGCACCGGGAATATTGCTGAACCTAAGCCGCCCAGCGTGGGCCTCTTTGTACGAGGTCTCATTTAGTCACCTCTTTGTACGAGGGAAATTTTCCGCCTCATAAAATGAAAGTTCCTATTTTCGAATATTTGTAAAAATGTGGTTTTCTCAATAAATTATACTATTATGTAAACTTTTATAAACCATTTGTTTTGTTAACCAATTATTTATTGAACTTGGAGTCAGGTAAAGTGGAAGTATAATGGGTGGAAGAAATTACCACGAAGCTATGGGTAAGCTCTAAATTGTTCTAGAACAATTGTAAGAGGTACAGGTAGTAAAAGCTTAAAACCTTTGAAAACAATTTGTTCATTTGGGGGAACCAAAAATGTTATTGTTTTACGGAACAATATATTTCTTACTAATGGACCCTGCGAAGTTGAACATTTTTGTCCTAACAATAACAAATCCAAGAAAAAAAAAATAGCGAAATTGGTCCACCCGTTCTAGAGATTAGCGCTTAGCAACACATTTAGCGATTCATTTTTCTATTATAGAACATGAAATAGAGGGACGAACGAGATAACGGATCAGCTGATTGACATCGCATCAATATCATTTGAGTATACTTAAAAAAAACACGAAATGTTTGTAAACCAACCACTCCATCTGGTGGTACCAAATGGGACTTGCCTGTGCTTCTATTCTTTTGTCATAAATGTACTGTTTTACCCTCATAGTTTGTTTACTAACATTCGAGACAGGTAAGACACATGACTCATCCCTACCACATGGGATTCAAACCATAACTGGTATAAAATCAGTGTTACAGTATATTACCTAGTCATATTTACCCCATCGAGAATTAAAATATGTCGTCATTGTTAAATATTTCACAACCATTTTGGCCTAAGTATCACGCCAGTTAACAATTGCACTCGCTCGACTTAAGAAAAAAAAAACATCTGTTTTAGATACGCCATTTTTGTTAAAAGCTGCAATTTCGACGTCTCGCTTAGTGTTGTACCAACTACGGACAAAACACGACTCGATATCGATAAATTGAGACAATTTTGACAAATTGATATTGGTAAAATTAAATAAAAAGGGCGGTAAACACTGATCATACAAAGTTCTAAACCAATGTTATAAAGAGGAAATATTTGTGTTTCTATATGAATTGGATAGAATGAATATGGAAAGACTTTGTAGCTTGGTGACTGTATCGTCCCATGACAATCACATAATATCTACAAATCGAACTTATCATAATGAAACAAAAATTACATACTTGGACTTAGTTGCGTAAAATTTAACTAAATATTTTATGTTATCTAAATTTGAGTAAGCTAGCAAGCTATTAAAATAGTCAATGGAGATATAATTAAAAAATAAGAATTTAAAACTTATTTATTGCATTTAGCTAATCTAAAAAAATCATTTTTTATTATTGAAACCAATAATTTGAAAAGACGAATAAAATATGAATAATTATGTAGTTGAAAACTCGATATAAGAATTCAAGTACACACATTACTAGTCGATAAAGTAGGTCTATGGTCCCATCTCCAGTTTGGCATTCCGCATTCGCGTCTCAGACCCCAAACAACACAGTAAATAAACGTACTTACGTCTTTTTAACATAAAATGGCACAGAACATATATATATGGATCTTGAACAATTACATAAGCCGGTGAGTGTTTTTATCCATTTAGTTATTACAAAATAAAGTATCGAATTAAGTAGAAAATGTTTCGTTCATTGTTAAATCATTTGCGACGTGTCATTTTTTCTTTGTTTTCTTTTTGTAAGTATTAGCACGTGCTTGCAAATGAAAAACAAACAAACTACTATCGAAAATCGACTCGATATTATACAGTGAAACTGAAGTGGCAATTGGTTTTTGTTTTAGGAGAATACGAGAAGAAATTGGTAAGGCGCGTCGAAGGCGGAAACTCGCAGAAAAAATTTCAAATCGACGAAAGGCCGAAAAGCTCGAGATAGACCTGCCACCGGTGATAGCGCTACCTTGGGATTACAGGCCTAGGGAAGCCAGTATTCCGATAGCCATACCGCCCACCCCTCCAAGAAATCGCTGGATTCGTAGAAATGCCCATAATGCCCATAATGTCTACAATCGACACGGGAGGTAATTTTGTTGACCTCAAACTGTTTACCATGGACACGGCACGCCTTGAAATTGTATTATAATATTTATTGACAACCCCTTTATGAGGGAAGATAGTCCAGCGTAGGAAATGTACTCCAGCGAAGGAAAGATAGTCCAGCAAAGAAAAGATTAAGCTGGTTATCAACATAATTTATTTGTGATGCTTGATCTAGTCGAATATATGTTATTTTATGAACTTTTATAAGAATTTGGTTTTATTTCTTAACTCTTTGTTACAACCAATCATTTACCGTCGTACTCACAAAATCTTTACTAGGGAATAGTTAAAGTAATTATATAATGTTTCTGAGTATGACACATAAGAGCCACATAACGGTATAAGACATATGATTTTTTTCTGAATGAGATTATTTATCATCGACCACCAGTGATACTGCTGGACTATATTCTGAACAAAAGAGAGATTTGCTATAATCTTTACAATATTCATGAATTAGATTTTTAGTCAAAGCGAGATTATCTTAATTGGATCAAAAAGGCACCTTTGCAAGCCAAACAACAAATAAAAATGTTGTGAGTTTCAGCCATATTGAAGCTATTTCTAACTCCAACATAAATATAGATTCTTTTAATGAAGGACAAGCCAGAAATTCTATAGAAGAATATTACTTCTGGAGTATTACAAACTAACCTCATAAAGAATTATGCCAGATGCCAATGTTATTTACAACTATTTTGTAACAGTTGTATAAACACAATGTAGTTACTTGGATAGTTAATGCAAGGATCATTTGTCCCTAGTAGCATGACATTTTAACAGGACAAGTATACATGTCCTTGGAACGGGTTGAATAGTGTCTTCATGGATCATCTATAGACCATTGCTACAGAAGTTGCAGGAGTTTTCGTGAGGTTGTGGCGGGCTTGCTTGTCCAATTAAAAAGGCAAAGATAATTTTACGAAGTATTCACGTCCCTGAGATGAATTGGACTTCATTGTTATCATGATTGTATCTGTTGGATCCTGGTTACAGGAGTTGCAGCGGTTTTGGGAGGTTATGGCTGGTTTGTACTGTAGCATTAAAAGGTGCAAAATTCAGCAGTGAACGGTATGGTCAAGTGAATCTATCTCTTTAATTAAATTTTATTGATGTATGGTAGGATTAGGAAATCTAATTCTGTGTAGTTTGGTATAAAGCTATCAACAGTTAGTGTAAGAGACAAAATAAAAAAAAAATAACTTAGTCAGTTTTCATCTCAGCAACCATTTTGAAGAACTAAGTATATTTAATTGTTAAAACAAGGAAAGAATGAGATTAGGGTTGATTAAGTTTCTATAGTTAGTATTTTTTCTGTCTTTTCTTTTTTTGTTGTTCTTTATTTGTTTAAAAAACCGTATTAACATAAAACAATGACTTATGCTTGTATCACTTACCCTAGCAAAATCATAAGAATATCGGTAGATGGCCTTAAATATATAGGGATCATTGAGTAAGCTGCGGAGGTTTTCTAGTTTGTTTTGCAATTTGTGCGCACTGTCACACTGTAGATCTGTTAGACCTGAAACAGTTAGTTTAAAATTTATTTCAGTATACAAATAATAACTTGATATTATCATTAAATTAGAAGTATATCTAATTCTACTATCGTCCTACCAAAATGTGCAAAGTAAAAGGAATGTCGGTTGTTTGTGACTCATTCCCGTAAAAACTACACCATAACTTTAAATGAAATAGTAACAATAGTTACATAGGATACTTTTATCCCAGTAATGCTAAAATAGGAGAAATTAAAAGAAGAGTCCAAGCAAAGATTAACAAGAACAAAATATAAAGAAGAAAAGATATCATTTATTCAAAAGCAATTCATATAAAAATCAATGAAGTAACAAGTATGTAAACTGAGACTGTATATCAAGTTTATTAGCGTAGAAATACAAAATTAGCAATAAACAAAACATAGTAACGTTACCATTACCTAGTTTCACTGACGGACTGACTGACAGACTATTATTTATTTTGTATTTGTTGACGTTTCAAAAGTTAAATGCTTTGACTTTGACTTTACCTTTTAACCATTCTTCTTGTGTGAAGAAACCCATTTGTTTTGCTCCCATTTTGTATGCTATGACCAACATTACAACATTCTCGGGGTCCACTCCAATGTCTTGACAGAATTTTTCCATGCCTTCTGGTCCTATATTAGAGGTACGGGAATTGATTAATTATTCAATCTAATTTGATTAAAAAAATACTGTTACATTCTTTTATTTTCAACTAGCGACCACCCGCCTCGACTTCCAACGGGTGCAATATGTATGTATTACATGTATAAACCTTCCTTAAAGATCTAAGCATACATAGGGACAGACAGAAGGTGGATAGCGACTTTGTTTTATACTACGTAGTGATGATAGAATATTTCATAAGAGTCCACAATTGTGCCTGGTGGTTAACATTAATGGAACTTGTAATTATTGTTCAAATATTCAGATTCTACTGGAGCAGTGTCTAGTATCTATTCAACACATTGTTTAAAAATATTTCTGTTGCTGAAAAAAGACTTCATAAAATACTTTTATAAACTTGGTTCACCATCCCAATACATTTTTACATGACCCCGGAGGTTCACCCATTTTGATATTGTATTGTAACCTTTAAAGTATTGTGATTGTGATTTGTTAATCCCTTAATTTTTGTATTTACAAAGCATGACATAACACACCTAAAACATCTGGTTCTGAGGCAGTTGTGTATTCTTTAAACCATGCTAAACATTTCTTTACGCTAAAACTTGTGTCTTCTGATTTGGAATGTCGACGTGAACTGAAATATAAAAAGGTTTCACATTAATGTCTAAGTTATTAAACTGTAAAGAGTACTTGATAGCACACAACTAGTCAAATTAAGAGCCTTATTATGGCATTTAGAGGCAGTTATTTATTTGGTTCATTAACAACTATCATTATAGATTAGTATCTAGTAGTACTTAGTAAGTACTAGTTACTTTTGGTTTCTAGGTATCTAATTTATTGTGAAATAGTTGGGACTAATTTATTGGGAACAATGTCTTACCTGCTATTTCTAGATCTCTTGTGGTGGTGATGGTCGTCAATAGCGGTCGCCCCTGATAGGACTTCGCCCCCATTAGCGGGGGCACCGCTCCGTGTACGTTTACTGCAACGAGGCATCGCTCTACCACCCTGCATTTAAGATTTAGAGTTAGGTAATTTAATTTTCTACTTTCTATTTCTACTAACATTTCATCTTCAAAGAGAGAAGGTAGAAGAACACATATTAAAGGTAACATCCACTTTTTATCAGTATTGTTATGCATTCGATGAAACAGAGGATGATTCTTACATACATACATTTCTAATTCCATTATTTGAACTAGAAAATAACCCTTCAAGTGTCTCGGCATATGTGCATCGTTAGAAGAAGATTTGACTTCAACACTTATCTAGCGACAGGACTTGAAGCAAAGATCTTGGCAATTATGATTGTGATCAACAAGGCAATTTGATTTAATAGTTAAACTGTTAAAAATATGCAACATAAGTGTACTATCTAAAACATTGGTGCTATAATAGTATGCAGGTTTGTAGATATAGTGAAAGGTATTCAAAGAACAATTGCTAAAGATAACCTTGTGCTGACGACTTGTTTGAAAACAACAAACAGCAGGACAGTACACCTCAACCCATTATCATATGCTACTTGACACATAAATTAGATAATTTATACTAAACTAGACTTTATTCTGAGCTAATTAGGATCATAGTTATTTTTGATCTTACTAATACTATAAATGTTAAAGTTTATGCCTATGTTTGTTACTGAATCACGTCATAACGATTGAAGGAGTGTGGATGAAACTAACAGGGGTACATTATGGTCTGGATTACCCCATAGGCTACTTTTTATTCCACAGGAATGCATGCAGTTCCTTGCAAGAGCTAGTTATGTGTTTTTAATTCAAAAAGGTTATGCTTTGTATTTTTAACAACATCTTTATAATGTCCATAAAATAGTGCAGGCAGCACATAATATTATGTATAAACCACAATAGAAATGCATTTACAATATCTAAGTACTGTTTTCTTTGAGGGTTGTAAATATTTATTGATAATAATAATAATGATGTGTAAATTCTACAACCTAAACATATGAAATACATTGGAATATACTACAACCATAAGAACTGGACAATACAATGATAAGAATGTTAATTATTTTGAGGAAACCATTGCCATTTATAGAATTACATATTTATTACACTTGGCATATCTAAGCTCAATTAGTATAGCATTTATGATAGTAAATAATACTGCACAATTAATCTATTACTTATCAATAATCAAAAAGAAGGATATGCTTCAGTCAAAGCATAATTATTCACTATTAGTACCTAATCTTTAGGTTATCAAGTACTTTTATTGGATGTTATTATAATGTCAAATGTCAAAACCAGTTGATCAGGCAGTAAAAGGATTTTTTAATGATCTGTCTTACATTAACCTCTATGTACCAGATAAACCCGAATTAAGAGTGTAATTTGTATAAATGACCAGTCACATAACTTATATGAAGGTGGTGAAACAGGCGCTAATATCTAATGTTATTTTGTATAGAGTTCATATAAGACACTTTGCTCTTAATTACTATTGCATAAAGCTGAAGAGTTTGTTTGCTCGAACGCCATAATCTCCGGAACTATTGGTCTAATTTATTTTTGTGTTGGATAGTCCATTTATCGAGGAATGCTATAGGGTATAAAATATTAAAGTACGATCAATAGAAGCCGAGCAGAACGGGTCAAACCTCGCAAAAGCAGCCAGTTCCTAATAAATGAACACATTATAGTGTTTTAAACTAAGGATGAGTAACATGACAACTGTGAGAACTGTATTAATTTAAATACATATTGCGAAATTAACTAATCCCACTTAAATAAATAATATCACAGATAGTTAAATCAACAAAGTTGCTGAGTAAGATATGTTGGTACATACATCAGCTAACTAGTCGTATTGCTTGATACACAATATTACAATGACAAAATACAAGATAAAAGGTGATTAAGCATTATTTTATGTAGTGTTCCAAATTATTGATATGCCTAATCATCTAATGCATATGTCCTTGATGGGTGGAGCTGCACTGCATCTATTTGTAGACTGGAAAACCACTTCTTATTCTATAGTGAAAATAGGTCATTATTCTTGAAAACTATGAAGTTGAAAGTACAAAATTCTGTAAGGTTTAACAATTAATTTTATCTCCTTATACGGTTACACTAATCATGGTCTTATCACAATGATATCCAACTATCATAAAGGAAATAAGTGTCTCAAACAAAAATAATTATGCTTCATGTGCAAACTTGTTTGATCATGCGCTTGGTTGGTTCTCGGAAGATATACAACTTATTAGAATGCACTAATGATATGATGTCTGAACTCAACTACGGCATGGAGTTAAGAAAGTTATGAAGGTTGACCATTGACTATTACTTTAAACCAAGAACACTAGCTTCTGCTAATGGCATTGCCCACATTCTCGTGGGATAAAAAGTGGTCTATGTGTTTCATACCTTAATCTGACCATCAAAATTCGTCCTGATTCCGTTAGCCATATTTTTGTGATTGAGTAACAAACATATAAACATCCACATTTATAATATTAGTAAGTCATTCACTTCTACCTAGTTACTTCTTGAAGTAATTATGAGTGTGTTGTTGTTACACTACGAAATATAGTTTCTGTCCTTGAGGAATAAAGATTTAGAACAATATTGTTATCTATCACACTGATGGTCACATTGATACAAAATAAGATTCTAGACAGCCAACAGATATTAATAGAATATGACAGAACTAGGTGAAACAGATACAATTAGACAGTTTACTAACAAGATTTTACATATCTTATAGGATTAATAGGATTTTTAATGACATAATAAAAATCTCATTGTCTAATTTCAATTTCAACTTTTTAGACATGTTTTATCAATGTAATTGGGAGAAATGACTGGATTATTTGGTAATTAAGGGATTTAAACAATCTATAGGTCTTATTTCATATTGGCATGACTAAGTTAATGTTTCATTTGATTAACATGTTTCAGTAAACATAGCTAACTATTCACACAGCAGTATGTTGACAATACAAAGTTTATTTCCACTTATCTCTGCAAGACAATGTACAATACTCAATCCAATGGAGTAATCTCTTGGAATCATCACTCAAGTATGTCAAAGCTTCATCAAATTCTAACCTTGCGCATATAATACATCTAAACAGCTGGGTGTGACAGAAACATATGATATTAGGTACATCCTAGGCATTTAGAGGTTATATGCATAATTTTCATCAATACCTTTAAATAATACACGTCTTTATTAGAAAAATGAGTCTATGAGACTTACTGAAACACCATTTTACATATTAATTGCTTTTGAAACATGTCTTGTAGGTGGTATTAATAAAATGTTTACCTACATACCTCAAAGATCAATTCTAATGTCTTTACACCGATAGATCATATTTATAAAGTTACAATAAGTAAATATAGTTCTAACTTACTATTGGTGGCAGATTCGATATAAAATTTGAAAACTTAAAGGGGTTTTCGTCTCCTATTTTGCGAATTTTGCAAGTACAGCTTCACGAAAAAATGTCTTCTTGACAGGTCGATAATAACCTGAAATAAAAAAATCAATGTGGGGCAAAAGAGAGAATACAACCAATGCAATTTACTATTAACACATAATGTCCAGTGTTTCAGTTATGTACTGAAAATTGATGAAAATGTTAATACGAAATGAAAGGTGAAACGTTACACAGACGAAGACATCTCCCTAAGTCAATTAAAAAAATCTTACCTTGGCCTTTTGTAAGAATTAGAAATATATCCAGAATCAGTTTTTGGTGGAAATAACAACTATTAACACATGTTTTCTTACTAAAATATAATAAATTGTTAAACCAAACAGCAGACACAGCGGCTGAGAAAACTCATAACGAAGTAAACGTTTAGTTACTACACAAACTTTGCAAGCTTGGTATATTCCTATTGGAAAAATGATTACGTTTAATAGAATATAATTTAATTTAAAGATCATTATAATTATATGATAAATCCTATGATGTGACAGTTAATATGTGATTTTCCGTAATTATTTTAAATTTTAAGTTTGAAATGTCTACACAATCATGCAATATTTTAAGTTTGGTACACATTTTTAGCAATAACTAAACGTATATGCATCATCTTTGAGAGGTAAACTTTTTTGTGAATATTTTTTACTCCTTACCATTAGTATTTTTTTATACCTATCACTTATTTTGCTGTAGGTACATACTTCATATTAATAATTCTAAACCAGGATTACAAAATCTGGAGCTTGGAAATGATACAAAACGATAGTATCGCTGCGTTTAAAATTAAAATTGCGTTTACAGTTGCTCCGTTTCGATTTTTTGTAAGGAAGGGTAGTTTTTTTCGTTAGATGTGCAGGTAGTGCGTGGTAGTGCTGTAGAACTATTTGATTTCAAAGCACGTATGTGAATAGTTACCTGATATCTTCCTAAAGCTTTCTAGGCTTCGGTTCTAGAGCAGTCTTAAGTATTTGAGTCTAGTTGACTTAGGCTTTACACCTTATAGGTACCTACTTTAGATATAATATTTATTGTTATTTCAACTTAGGTACCTTACACAGCCGCACAGTGATTACCTGCCCCTCTTCAATACTATTATAACAATACCAATGAACACAAAGTTCATTCTTATTTTATCGGTAAATATGGGTTGTTTTGTCAAAGAAAGCAATTCTATCGTGAAAAGAAGAGACACCTATTATCTGCATAAAACTTACGACTTGTTTAGTTGCGTGTGGTTTACCGATAGATGGCGCTTAACATAGATTGAAGTTATCTTCCTTCGGCCAATAGTCATCTCATCATAATTCTATTCTATCTTTCGGTAGATTTGATCGGATAAAAAGTACCCAAAGGAAAGTTCAGTGAGTAAAGTAAGTAGTACGTATGTTCCTGAAAAATAACAAAGTAGGTAGTTGACCTACACTAGACTAGAAAAAAAGCCTACATTTTGTAACAACAGACTTTTTTGTTAGGGATATAGCCGATACGACACTCCAGTGCACGACACTTAATAACACTTATTAGA